ATTGATTATGATTTGTTTTCGTATTTTTAATTGTACCCGAAAAAGATTGTTTTTGATTGGTGGATGGACTTTAGCCTAATGTTAATTTATTTTTTCATTAATTAATTTTATTGAATTTTTTTTTATCGATTGACAGGATTTAATTTATTTTTCTATTTTTAATTTATTTTAATCTACTTTTATCTTTCTACAGGAGATTTAAATTACAGCACAGGAGTGTTAATAACAAAATTAACCAAAATTAAATTATTAGTTACTCGATTTAAATTTTTTTATTTCAGATTTTTTTATTAGTATTCTCCCAATGTTGTATTACTGATCATCCGTGCAATGCTTGTGGATGATAGTTGCCCTTTATCTAGCTAATTAGTGTCGATGGTTAATGCAAGTAGGATTAATGCAAAAAAATATAAAAAATAAAAATGTCTAAAATTTTAAATATACTTCTATATAATAAATTTAATAATAAATTTAAAAAGTAACATTATGTTATTTTTTTCTCATGAAGAGTAATTATAAAAATACTTTTCCAATATTATTTAAAAAAACTGTACCATAACTTATAAATAGAATCAAATAAACTTTTTAAAATGTGACTCATAAATTGGATTAGAGAGAGTACATGTCTAAAAAATAAAATAATTTCATATTTTAATTTCTTTATTAGTATATATATTGATATATTTTTCAATATCTTGAAAATCTATGTCCTCTTCAATAATCATGTTTAGGAAATTAAGATTAAATTTATGTCCTAACATTTTTTTAACTTGAGTAATGATGTTTTAAAATAAATCATAATCACCTCTCTCATTACAATTTTTTTTCTAATTTTTAATTTAACATCATATTGAAAAAAATTCTTACATTTATGTGACCTCAAATCTGCGCAATGCACGGGATTCAATCTAGTTAAATTAAAACATTGTCAGATTCAATTAATAATAGCTCTCTGAACAAAATTGTTTACATTAACACAGACTTCAATATGAGATCTCGAACTAAAACAACGTATAATTATCATTCTTGCTACATCAATATCGCATCTATCTCTAGTCACTAAATTTTATTTTATGGATGATAAATGGGCCCAAGCCCATAAATTAGAGTTGGGCCATTGCTGTTTTCTTTCTCTGTTTTTTTTTTTTGGGAGAGTGGACAGAAATGTCTTTTAATTATTACTCCCTCCATTTTAAATTATAAAATACTTTTAAACAAAATTTTATATATTAATAAAATTTATTAAATATACTTTACAATCTTACTTTTTTAAGAAAAGAATATAAACTGTTAAAAATATTCTTCATTTAATATTCTATTAATAAAAGAATATTGAAGAAAGAGAATATATAGGAAGGGTGATATTAAAAAAATATCATTGATGAAACTTTATTTTTATTAAAGTGTCTCATATTTTGGGACACTAAATCTTTTTTAAAAGTGTCTTATAATTTGAAACGGATGGAGTAATAATTAAAATTAATTTAAATACTTTTCTTAAAACATTCTAACATCGATTGGTGAAGCTGAAGCCTCAAGCTATGCAGTTAAGTTTTCATTTTTGATTCATAAGGTAATATCTCAAAAATCTAAACATACTAAAATGATCCTTTCAATGTGTCTATTTAATTTTGTTTTCAAAACACATAAATGGAATCAAACCAAATGAATGTTGGGTTTGGATATGGATTGTTCTTGTCGAAATAATAAATAATTCGGGTAATCAAATTATCCAATTTTAATTATATATTATAAATATTATTGCTAAAATATACAATGAAAAGCCTCCTCCAACAATGAAGATATCACAAGTTTCATGATTTGAATTGGAACATAAGCTCAAATATACCTGCTTAGTGCTAATTGGTTGATGGTTAGTAAAAAAACATTCAAAGCATTGAATGGTAAAACATTGTCTTTTCAATGATCTTCTTCCAACTCTTTTAAAGGTAGGCTGGGTTGATATATCCGGCCATCTTTGGTTTTTAGGCTCTTTTCATTTTTATTTTAATTATGAAAGAAAACTTTTGTCAGTATTTATTTCAAACAGAACCATTGTTCTATGTTGAGATCTTGGTTTCATGTTTACTTTTTTATTTTTATAGTGATAGAATAATTATGTAAAAATAGATTCAATGCTCATATTTACAAAATTACATGTTTGGGATGTAATTTTATAAAATTACAGAACCTACTTAAATTTAATCTATAAAAGTTTGTAATTTAATTTAAAAATGTAAAAAAAAAAGTATGTAAAGTCTTTCCACGACAAAAAAAAAATTTAACTACATTTAGGTTTTTTTAATCTTGCAAAGCAATATTACTTAGTTCTGCAAAGTAATTAATGTTGTTTAGTGGTCCTTGATTATAATTCTTCCAATTCGATATGCTTATTACTTAGTAAAATCACAATAATGTCCATGGTAAAAATAAAAAAAAAATTGATTACAATTACCGAGGTAAGTTTACAATCACCGAGGTAATTGTAATGAATGTTGGTTAGCATGGTACGTTTGTCTTTCCGGTGGCCATATCAGAATTCAGAAATACCAAATACTCTGCTTGCCTTCCAAAATTAGACTTCTGATTTTTCAGTCATCGCCAAACAAGTAGCTGCAGCCCGAAGCCTCCAGTCCAGGCCAACATTACATTATCTCCAGGATATGAATATACCTCTTATTATCATTATCCTTATCCTTATTATTATTTTCAATAAGTAAATAATTAACATTAATATATATTATATAGCTTAAACTAGGGCACGTATATAGGATACCTCCTCAAGTAACCAGAGGGAATGTATAGGGTGCAAATGTAGAGACAGTAGAAAAAAGTTAACAGAACTCTGAAAACATTGATTAATTAGCTAGTAATAATTTTAAAGAGTTATTCCCTAAATTAACAATATTACCGTATATAGAGTCTTTTGCAAATACAAAAAGTGATTCTTATTATAAGGTGTTGAATAAAAAGATTGAAATAAACTCCTTAGTTACTTTGGGGGGGGGGAACATTGCACAGATGACTATAGGTGACTTCATTTTTCTCTCCATTTTTAGTATAGATATAATTGAAAATTTGAGATAAAATTTAATAAAAAAATAACATAAAAAATTTTCTTAAAACATGTGTGAAAGATGTCCTAAACACCTTATGAATAATTTAGAATTTTTTGTGTTTGTGGTCCTGTGTAATTAGAGTTGTTCATCTGTGGTTTATCCATTAGAGTTATTTTTTTAATGTTTATATGAGCGTGTGAATCTTTTGTGTATAAGGAGCCAATATTCCATTAAAAGGAATTGCCCTTGCCATCAATGGGAGCTCAAAATCTAATTTGCATTTAAATTTGTATTCGGCTCTATGGCTAATCAACTATAGTTTTTTTATAAAGACGCTTCGTACTTTAATTAGTTTGTGGAAGCCAAGGTATATGTTGGGCAACTATTAGGTGGGTTGACATCTCCTAATTAAAGGTAGTCGCTTAATCCAATCGCTTACGCAATTAAGTTCAAAGCATGTGGTGTTCTTAATGACATAGATATCATTTGAAGTATATATGCACCCATTTGAAATTTAGATACTCATGTATATAGCCTCATAATTATGTATGATCTTGTCATACCTTCATGCAACATGCGCACAAAATATGTGTATGGAAAAGAGCTACATAGATAAGATATACCAATGAATGTTGGTCGTTTAAATACAATGTCTCAAGTTTGAATTTATGTGAATGCAAAACATATCTTTGAAAGAGTTACATTTAATGTGAGTCAAATAGTATTTGAATATAACTTAATTAGATAGTCATATAAGAGAGAGATGAGATGTTATTTATTTCTATTAAACTAATAATTAGAGCATACACACACACACATCACATGTTCAGTATTGATGGAGTTGTGCCAGACGCATCGCTTTTCATTGTTAGATATAACTTACGATTTGGTAGGACCTAAAATGACAATTGACAATTCCTAGATCCAAATCATATTTGATAATTTCATTAGTACAATAGTAAGTACCTGTATTTATAATTTTTTTTATATTTCATAAAAAATGGAAACCATTATGTTCCCTATACTCGAAGTTAATAACAAGAGAAGTTGCTTAAAGATGGAAATTAAAATAATATATGTAATTTCAACTTAAACTTCCAAATTACAATCACTTCTTGGTAATTAGCATAAGTAGATTATGTCATTCTAATTTAGTAAGGGGGCCGAGCTTAATCAGTAGAAAATGAAATCATCATATCTTTAATATGCCCTTAACGAGTTTAACGTTCTCCACAAAAATCATAATATCTTTAACGTGTTCTTTTACAAAAGTATATGCTGCCTTTCTTTTAATTCATCAAAGAGTATATATAAATATATATAAACATAAATATTTAATTAAAGATTCCCCTTTGAATAAAATAGAGTACATTTGCTTTTGGTGACAAAATTGAAGGATACTTATTCCCTTGCTTGTAAACGAGATAACATAATTAAGTCATGAAAGACAAAATTAGTTGGAGATCAAGTTATTTTAATTATCATACAACCACGAACACCCGCGCGCATTATAATATATTACACAATAATCACCTCAAAAATAGCCATCGATGCCGACTCTTTTGCAAATAAATTAATATTGCTTATACAATATTATTGCCAAATTATAAGACCATTACCTTTTTTTTTTTCACCTTTAGTTTTCTGTCACGTTCAAATTAATTTATTTCTTCCTATAATTCTCTTGGGACTTTTAGCTTCTGCATTCCTGCGAGCCTGGCCTATATCTCATCCCTGTCTTTCACACAATCTATTATCTTCTGCCCAGCGCCTATGGAAATGGAAATAAGATTAATGTACCAAATTATAAAGTTAATATTATAATAATTAGACACGGATTAATCCATGGAATGAGATTAGGGTTTTTCATCTGCAGGTCAAAAAGAAGCAGCTAGCTAGGGTGGTTCTTCGTGTTCAAGCACAGAAGAGGCACTGATATAATTAATCAAAGATATTATGCATCATCTATTATACCACAATATATAATTAAACAATAATCTAGTTATATACTGAAATTAACCTCTACTACAGAACAAGAACGATGATATATAGCTAACAATAGTCAAAGAGAGAAATAATAATAATAATAATAATTGAAGTTAAAATTATATTAAGAGGGTTCATCATTTTGAGTGTAGGTTTTACCAAAATGATGAATAGGTTAGGGATTATTATGATCATCATTTTCTTCTTCATCTCCATCACACTGCCTGCCATGCCGAGACCGTAAGAAGAAACCTATTTTGCCAACCCAAAGATATGGCTCTTCCTTCGTCTCTCTCTGAAACCCTGAAACCGCCACCACCTTCTTCGTCTTCAAACTGAAGTGGAGAGTAATGAGTCCTCATCTTCAACAATAGCTTTGCTTGAATCAAAGCCTTAGAGCTGACTTTTGTTCCTGAGAATCCATGGCCCTCCATCCTCGCCTTCCACGTCTCCATCCTCTCGTACTTGGGACAATCCACGCCGTCCACGTCGTAGTTATTCAGCATCGCCTTGATCTCCTTTCCCAGAAGCTTCTTCTCTATCCTCAACCTCTCTGTGCTGTCCAGAGGTAAACAATCATCCAGAGAATCGAACATGGCGGCGAAATAGTGCAACGAATCAGTGAATCTCGACAGGAACGTTCTGGGGCTTCTACTTCCTTCTTGCTCGACCAGCACAACAATGGAGGGATTCAGGGAATGAACAAATCCCAATGTGTCAGAAATCTTCATGAAACTACTCAATGTGTTCAAGTAAGACACCAGATTCACACCCACTGTTTCATTTTTTTTCTTCCTTAGGTTAATCACACGTGAGCCTCGAAGCAGGCCTTGGAATTCAAACACCAGATTGGTGAATCCCTTTGAGAAACTGATCAAACGCGATTCTGTTTCTTGAAGCTCTTTGAGGTTCTTCCCGAATCCAGTGATTCTCAGAGATATTCTGTTCCCGCTGGTGGCCTTCTCGGAGAGAGATTGTATAAGAGAAGGCCATTGAAAACCATAGGAGACATCGAAGTCGATGACATGCAATGCTCGGTTGTTCCTGTCTTCCTCGTTCTCGAAGGCTTCGAGGATGGCTTGGTTGGCTGTGAAGTGAGCGAATTGGTAGTACGGTGAGACTCGATAAAGATCAGTGAACGCTAAGAACTCTTCTTCGCTTGTGGGTTCTTCCATGAGCATGTCGTAGAAGGGGGATTTGCGGGTGAGAAGCCGGGCGGCGAGACCATCGGCGAAGTAAGCGACGACTCGTTGGACGGAGTCACCGGTGAGAGAGACGGTGTGGTAGAGCTGAGCGAGGTTGTCTAGGCCGGAGTTAATGTTGGCGTCGTCGACACAAGTGGCTGTACTGAGAAGGAGATGAATCAGAGGGAGGCCATTACCGTCTTCCAAAACTCCTCTGCCATGAATATTATTATTTCTCATGAGATTGTGATCTTGACGAAGCATTTGCTCTCTGGTTTGAAGCAGCCTGAAGATCCTGCTTTCGAAGCCTTGTTCATACGACGAGAAACAGGAACTATTAATATTGCTGTGATGATCTCTCGTACTGATCATCATCATCTTCCCTTTCTTTTTCCTCTCTCTACCTGCAGAAACTGAGAGGCTCAGATTCAGAAGCTCTTCTTCCTCCGGATCTTCCATAATCTGAAGAAGATCGATGAAGGACAATGAGAGAGACGAGGGATAATAAATCTAGGCACAAAAAAGACACTGGTGTTATATATGTTATATCTATCTTTCTCTCTATATATGTCTAGTTCTGGGGCTTTACGTTTACAAGACTGAGAAGGGATATGTCACAAAAATTCCTTTGTGGCATGACATGGGTATATATAGGACCAAGAAACCAAGGCAAATATGTCTCCTACTTCTCTAATATTGAAACTATTTATATTTTGACTCATATATATGAGACTAATTTATATTTCTGACTTGTTTTTTTCTTTTTTGGCTGGCTGCTAGCTGAAGTGTAATTGTAGTTTGTAATAAGACGGAGAGATTAAGAAGGGTATCTTTTTATTCTTAGAGAATCGATCATGAGTGGAAGTGGAAGTGTGTGTCTTGGGTCAGGGAAAACACATTGATGTTTTCATTAATAATAATAATATAATATTAATTAATAATACAGAGGGACTGTTTTTCAAATCTATGAAAGGTCCTGTTTTTGGGTCGCTTTTATAATAACACTCTTTGGTAGTTGAGAAGGCTTGGAAGATGCCATATGCATTGGACAAGAGACAGCGGTGTCAATGGGGAATCAAACGTACCGTCCTTTAAACAATTGTCTTCGTTCTCTCACACTTTTCCCTTCCAATTCTCTCTATCTTTTCCCCCTCTCTTCTCCTATTCCTTTTCCCTTTCTGCATAATATACATCAGTTCAAACTTGCATGTGCTAGTATATATGCATGTGGGTGTAAATATATACATAGATCCACTAACTGACGTTTGTCTTAATGAAATAAGTTGGAATTCGGAATTTGAGTATGTGTGGAAGTAGAAATTTTTTTTGGAAATGCTCGAATTTTGATCAGATAGCTGTGCGTGTGTGTGTACACACATGGATCTAAGTTAGGGTTGGAAGAGAATAGGGTTTTAAATAAGGTTTTGATGGAAATTACAAAGAGGCTGCTTGGGATTCCTTATGGGTATTGTGGTGAAGATTGATCTGATTGGCAGAAATGAAAGTTTCTTACAAGGATTTTGGCTTTGTTAGCCACACATTCCTTAAGTACATAGGGATCCTGCAAGGGAGAGACTTTTGACACTTTCTCATCATAAATATGCCAGGACAAATAGAAGCTAACAAAAAAAAAAAGGTCACTTGATTAATTACTTCCTGTAGGAAGTGGTTGATTTTTCTGATATGGACTATTACTATATCCGCTTATTCAAATCAGATTTTTTCTTCTTTCCTTTCTGCTAGTGATTGGTCTAGCAGCCAAAGTAGGTTAACTTTTTTAAAAAAATATATCACAGAAGCATCTGATAAGAAAGAATCTTTAGATCATCATCAGCACACAGGGCAATACAACATTTCAACTTTCTCACCGAAATAAATATGCTGCAAGAACATCCATCCTTGAAAGGTATATTTGTTTTTTCAAACACCGAACAAGTTAATAACTTAATATTTAAAGGTTTCTATTAATATATAATTGGGCTGACACAGTGTTGCACCAGAAATATGAAAACTATTAGTGAGATGATGAGATTGTGAAGATGGCATTGGAATTTGTGTTTGAAATGGTCATAGGAAGAAGTGGAGGATCCTGAAAAGGTCACATCAAACATGGAAGAGCACTAAATTCTTGATTGTCTTGTTAAGGGAGGACAGTACAAAACATATATGTATATATAAGATATACAACTTGTTAATAAAAACAATATGGACACTAATTAATATGCTCCAAATAGGGCACATTAATAATATGCTGCCTCATGTAATCTCAAACTGACAAATGGCAGCTTCTTGGATGGCATTAAACTACATTATAATGTATCTATATAGCTAGCTATCTGGTATAACAGTAACAGGAGAAATAAAGAAACAAGAATGAAGAATTCTCCATACATAAGTAACCCTAGCTAGCTACCTATTACCTAGCTGCTAGTTCCTAGCTCCTCTCTATGTGAATTTATCAGTAACAACGAAAACAAAAGAGAGAGAAGAGATAAATAGTATATGGTGAGAGACCAAAACCGAATTGCAAGAAACCTCTTGGGTGTCAAGTTGATGAATAGAGAAGAGAGAGAGAGAGAGAGAGAGAGACGGGAAAGACGGAAAAGGAAAGAGAGGAAGAGAAGGGAAGTGGTAAGGTAGAAAAACATGCCTGGTGTCAGACACAGCCACGTGAGGTCTTTCTCTTCTCATATTCTCAAAGGCAAAGCAGACAGACAGACCCAAATTCCTTTTATTTTTTCCCCCTTTGCGTGCCAAAATCAACCACAAAAAGAAAATGATAACTCGTTCCTTGTTAGCTTCCCTTGGTAAAATAAGTCATTTAAATATTCATGTTTAAGTCACTAATCTAACTAGCTACTAGTACGCGTGCGTGTGTGTGTGAGACTATATATCATGTTTAAGATCAGAAGGGTATACATACACTGATGCTGTTTTCTCTGTTTACTTTATTGGAGCTGGTTATTCCAGAATTAGAACTTTAATGCAGTGAATAAACATACGTAGAGGAATTCATTCTGATGTGTTATCTATCTATCTATCTATCTACCTAAGTGAAGATATGAAGAAAACGATAACTCATCAGCCTCCCTTGTTTTTTTAAAAGCTATTTTAAATGCCCGGGGATCAACTCAAGTTTAGGTCTAGTGTGTTGGGATTAAAATTTGTAAAACTGAAACTTTCAAAGACTAAAGTTAGTAAATTGCAGCTGTAAAAATCATATACTATAACATGATTTATATTTTAGTACATTTTTCTTTTAAAAAATCAGTTTAACATGATTTATATGCTTTTATAAATACTTAATCTCAGTTTTAAGCCAAAAGTCATTTCTCATCAATTTTTGCCCAACCCAGATTAAAATAGTTTAACGTCAGTTATGAGATTCAAGCTTCAGTTTAGACCACCCAAACTGAGGTTTAATTAGATTTAACCAAACTTATAACCGTCATTAATCTATCTATCTATCCATCATGTTTAAGATCGAAGGGGTGTGTGGGCATACAGTTGCTATTTTCTCGGTTTACTTAATTTGAGGTTATTCCAGAATTAGAACCACAATGCGGCGAATAAACACCTGTAGAAGAATTCATACTACTATCATCAGTTACATGTATATATATTTGGAGGTGATGAAGATAATATGAAGAAAGTGAAAGAAACAAGAGGGCATGGGCATGGCACGTACAAGGTATATAGAGGTAGCATAGTATTGTAGGCGTATAGGAAGAGGGTTGATGAAGAAGGCGCGCGGTGATGATATATGAAGAGATGATGAAGAAGGCGAAGAACAAGAAGAGAGATGAGATGGGTAAAAATGGTGTCAGGCGGGGGAGAAGAAGGAGTGTTGTAGGGTAATCTGAGCTACGGGAGAGGGAAAAAAGAAGAAAGAAACAAAGGAAAAATAGTAGTGGAAGGTGTCAGACAACCCCACGTGAGGGATTAGTAATTTTGTCTTGAGGAATATTATAAGTATATATATTGAATGAATATTGTGGGTTGGATTCTCGAGAAACAAACAGGGTTGCATCCAAATCCATGTAGTGTTTTGGCCTTTGCGTGCGAGATCCCATTGCGTGAGAGAATGAAAAACAAGAGAACAGGTGAGTGAGTGAGAGAGAGAGAGAGAGAGGGGAGAGAGAGAGCAATCGTGTCAGTCATCAAAAAGAAAATTGATAGATAGGGAAAGCGAAGTAGAGCAAGTAAGTCATCGTCCACACACCAAATAGTTTTTTCAATATTCCCATTATTAACATCATGTACCCTTTCTTTCTCATGTAACTTGAAGATTCTCATTCATCATCATCATCATCCCATCTCCTAATTAACAGTACAAGTTTTTAAAGATTGAGATTCTCATTATTGCATTATTCTTGCAAACTTTATCCTTGTCTTGAAGGTCTTGATCTGGTAACATAGAAAGTAAACTTTCAGCCGTCGGGTTAATTTAGTTTGGCAGAAAAATACTATTGATAGCATAGTGAACATTTCTGCTACACAGAAAGCAAGTGCCTCCACACAAAAATTTCATTTTGCTCATATATGTATAATTTATATAAATAATTCATAAATTTAACTTAGTTATCATCTCCCCATAAAATACATACATATATATATGTATATATGTATGTTACCCTCACATTTTAAAATTTCTATGGCCATCATTGGGAGATGCTGATTATGTAATATATATTTGATACGCAAAAAAGTATTTTCCAAAAAACAAAAAACAGAGAGAGAGAGAGATACACCTAAAAAGAAACATGATAGATGCATTTTTCGTTTTTTTTTTTTTTCATGTACCAAACATGTTATCTCAAAGAAGATTTCTTGCACGCAATAATAAAAAATAAAAGACAAACTTCCAAGAAGCCATTATTTTGCAAATCATCTCATGTCTTTCTCGTTGTGGTTTTGATGACACGTTTATATGTTATAAATCAAGATGATATGTGCTTATAAAGATGTCTTTGTGAATTAATGAAGATCAAAGAGACTAGTTTTAATTTCTTCTGAAACAGAAAAGAAAGAAGGGTTTGTGAAAACACGCACGCTCACTACTGGTATTTTTTATGGTGCAGCAAATTAACAAACTAAGTGAAGAAGGAATAATTGATTGATTGAAACGAAAAGTATTAATGGGAGAGGCATTGGTGAGAGACTGAGAGACACATGACATGATCCGTAAAATCATGGGGCCATGTATATATTTTTCTTGAGGATCGGGAAACCTTTTATTTAAAATTATTTAATAAATAACAATTTATTTATGATGGAAGAGCAGCAGAAACAGCAGCAGCGCCCAGATGCTGGTTGTCTTCATCCTAAGACGCAAACCATTTGGTTCACCACAGCCATTGTCTTCTTTCTTTGTCATTTAATTAAGTTTTTCTTTAATTTGGATTAATGTTAATTAATTATATATGATTAATTAAGCCTCGTGGTTGTCATCATGAACTTTCGTACGACATGTTTAGAGGATCTTCCTGATCTTATGATTCTTTGCACTCCAACGTTTGCTCTTTAGCATTTTTTTTTTTTTTTTGTATGGGTACTGCCGTTAGGGCTCTCTCTTTTTTAGTTTTTTTTAAAACTTTTTTTATGGGAGAATGATAATCAAATTCAAAAGATTAAATTAATGGTAGTTATATTTTTAATAAAATATTAATTCAGATAATTATAATTTCAGAAATTTTAATTTCAAATGTAACTATATATTGTGGGAGACTTAATTAACTATTATTAATTCAATCTTTTATAATTATTTTCCATGTTTAGTCCTGTTTTATCTTAAAATGCATTTTAGTTTTTTTTAACATTTTAAAAGATACCATTTCTGTCAATTAAATTTGTGTAACGTTGGGAATTTTGATTTTTAACCTTTATATATAAAAAAAAACTATGTCAAAAAAGACCTATTTTTTGCCCTATATATTTTGAGGGAGATTAGTCCATCCTATTAGATGAATATGATATTAGAAATTAAAAAAAAAAAAGAAGTTAGATACTCCCTCCGTATTATCATATGATATTAAATAATTTTGTAATTATTTTTTAAATATACCTCTACTTTATTTATTATATTATTTTTTAAAAATGATACATTAAAATTTCAATTATTATTAAAATATTTATATAAGATATTTAATAAGAGTATAATTAAAAATATATAAAAAATTTAAAATATTAATATTTTACCTAATTTTTTAAAGTCGTTCGTATTCCAGCCAAAATACTGTTCGTATAATTTAATAAATACATTAATTTCTAGTATTAATGAAATGAAACCATTTGGTTGACTTTGTGATCCTAAACGTGATCTACTTTGAAGTTTGAGCAGAGATGGCAGCATATTTCTAGTTGGAAGTTTGATTGGCCCTAAAATGAGGGGATAACATGCCTCAAAATTAATTATATATATAGGGATCCCTAGAAAATATATTCCAAGTTTTTTTGGGGAATCGGGTTGTGATCTCCAAAGACATTTAACTTAATGCCTTCAACCCCTCAACAAATCTCAGGGGATGCATACTTCTATTTTATATAAAAATTAGAGGGATAGACATTAATAATATGAAATTACAATTACAAGTAAGATCGAATACGTGACTCCTTCACTTACAAGAGAGTTTACATGTCACTAGATCACGAGACCATTTAACAAGTCTATTACATTGTTTACATTTAATTTAATTTAAATTTAAATTATATATTTGTATTATACACACATACTCCCTCTGTTTAAAAATATAAAATATTTTTTAAGAAATTAAATGTTCAAAAATATAAAGTATTTTTAGTCTTTTGAGATAGAATTATTTTTTTTCAAAAATACCCTTATTGATGATAAATTTATATTTATTGTAAGGTGTTTAATAAAAGTAAATATAAAAAAATGGGGTTAGTTTAAAAGTAAATAACTACTTTATTGAGGGCAAAATTCAGTTAAAAATGTCTTATATTTTTTAATTAAGAGAGTATATATCAATGGTTTTATTTTTATTATTTTCCATTTTTGAATATGAGAAGTTATTACATGAGAAAAAGAACCTGATCCCTTTCCTTTTTACATATAACAAAAGTGTTCATACAATTGGATTCATTACCCTTTTTTAACTGAATTAATATCACATAAATAGATAAACTATTCACATGCACTAATTTTAGAGTATAAAAGCTTATCTCATCCTATTAAGTTCCACTATCTGTTAAAAGTACACTATATTGTACACATACTTGCTATTTATCAGGACCGCTTTTACTATTTCTTATATATAAACTGCTAGGATTTGGTTTCAAGACAATAAAATAAATGAACCAGATAAAAAATGTGGCATAAAAAATTATTAAAAAACATGAGAAGGAACTAAGAATACTTGAGATAGTTGAAAAGCATGGATTGATATGGACGTGGAACAGTGAAAGATTCATAAAATAAAGCTGATAGTAATGTGGCAGTTCAAGGCACTGTCATGAGATGCCTTTTGAACTTTCAACTTCGTCTAATTAATTATTATTGTTTGCTCAATTATTCCTCTAATTAATATTAAATAATTAACCAAATCAGGCATCTTTGCAACAGAATATATATGACTTTACATCCATTTGGTCAAAGATCAAGAGGGATTAAGAAAGCTAGCTGGACCCATTATAATATTTAACATAATTAAATCAAGGAAAGATGAAGACATATGTATGAATATATAATACAAGAAGCCACGAAAAATAATTAATTAATTAATTAACAATAAGCACATTGGACAAAGGCTGAGAAAACAAGGAGATACTAAGGAAAAGGTTTATGCTTTGTTTTTAATTAATTAATTAAAAATTAATCAATGGATGTTTTGATGAATATTCTGAGGGGGGAATTGAGAGTATAAAATAAAGGCAAAGAAAGTTCTATTCCTTGACCTCATATTTGTTGCTATTATCACTGTTATTATTATTATTACTTGGACGTCACATTTGTCTTGCACTGATTTGATTCCTCATATCAAAGACGTCATTCGTCTTACCAAAAACTTTTGTCCAGAATCAAACGCCCCAACGCACGTTTGATCCTTCACATGTCATGCTTCTCTAAGCAACTTCAGGACGGGAATATATGGCATTTTTTTCATTTAAATTAATAATAGATTGGTATCTGAAAAAATTTTAAAAATTAAATTATAAATATCAATTCATATAATTATAATAAGAATTTTAATTATAAATTGAAAGTTACATTTAAAACCTAAGTATGTTGTTGAATTTAAAGGGAAGAACCACATGGAATATGGCTATTTTTTTACTTCAATTATATGTAGCTAGCTTAGTTAACTTGATAATAAATTCTTCAGACGTTTAAATTCATAATTTGATTTTTTTATTATTATCGATTGATTGATTATTTCCCTAATATACTTCATCTATTTGACTGATGACTTCAAGTTTTTACAACCTATTATTTGTGTAAAAGATCAAGTTAAATTTTATTAATGACATATTATATTGATTAATGATGAGGAAATTATCAGCATCATTAAACTCAAAAATGCAGACCAGTGTGATGTCAATTTTTAAAAATGAAGAAGTTGTCTAAGTTAATTGAATATCAAGTTTGAAAAATTCGTAATTTATTTAGTTATCTTTGTTTAAACAGCGAAGGTATTGTTTTCTGTCTTTTAACCACATCATGTGAAATAATGCTGCAACAAATTTCAAAATGTCAATAATAGACATTTTCTTATTTATTTCTTTAATCCTTTATGAGTAGACAGGAAGCCTCAATAGTATTAATTAAGAAAACTGTTTATGTTTTGTTTTATATTACAAATGACACTGGTAGAGCATCTTGAGTACGTTTTTGTAAAGGAAAATGTTAAAGGGAAGTTCTTAAAAGTTAAAATAAGAATTTTTCAACAATAAAAATAACTTGTACATTTTTGTAAAGGAAAATGAGAGAGAGAGAGAGATAGTATAATTTAACATTCACATATTGATACTATTTAACATCAAATATGAATAAAATATATTTGGTAATTATAGCAAATAAAGAAAAATACATTTTATTCTTAAAGTACTATGCTTTAATTGTTCAATTTTCTGGTAAAAGAAGAACGATTCAGTTTTTAAATTATAGAAATATATTTTTTAATCAATAAAAAATTAATTTTTAAATCTTCAAATACAGAATATAGTTCAATTTTTGAGATTTTTACTAGCCACTTGCTAATCCCCACTAATACGTGATTTTTTTGTTCAGTAGGGTCATTAATACATGATCTTGGTAACAAAATATTTTTAAAAAAGTATCGATATATACTCCAAAAAGAAAACAATTATTATCATTCTCCACCTCCATATTAGCTCATGAGTAAAAAATCAACTAGCAAGAGCTAGATGGGCAAGTTGATGAGACAGTGTGATCCAGAGGATAAAATGCTCCCGGGAGCACCATATTGGTTATATCTCACTTCTAACCAACATCAAATGGATATGAGTTTTTTTTAATCATCAGTTCTTGAGTTTGATCCCTAGAGTGATGGAAATGGAAAAAATATACTTGAAAGAGCCACTTTCTTCGAGGCTTTACAATGCTCAAATTCAAATTAGTTAGAATTGTTCGCATCAAATATCAAATGGTTATGCCACGAAAAAAAAATAAATCACCCAATAGCATTTCCTTTTTCAATAAATTTTTTAATTACGAGGGGTCTATTCATGGTCAACCGTATTGCATTTTATAGTACTGGTTTATATTTATTCACTATTTTTTCAAAAAATAACATATATTACATGCAATTAATTATTGCAACAAATTCAAGACAACACTAGTGTTGTTTACAGATAATGTAAGTTTTCAATTTCCATAATTCATTAATATAATATAAGGTAAAAGAGCAAATTGATCTTAAAACTATAAATTCAAGAATGTTTGAAATTCTAAATTTATTTTTGGTGTTCTTAAACTTTTAAAAATGATATAATTTAACCCCCGCAATTAATAAAAGTTAATTTTAACAATAAGTTTGATCCGAACATGACAAAAAATACCTTAAAAATGACCAAAAAAACCAAAAAAATTACATTAAAGAACAAAAAATTTATAGAAAATAACAAAAAAAATTATTGATTCTTTTTTGGTAATTTTTTAGATTATTTTCTGATTAACTAACAATTAAAATTAATTTTTCTTTAGAGTAGAAGCTAAGATTGTATCGCTTTCAAAAATTAAAGAAAACATTTTAACAAAAATGAATTTAGTAATCCAATACTCCTGAACCTTTAGTTTAAAGGTCATTTTGCTCTTTTGGCCTCTAATATATTAAAAAAAAAACTGTATACCTCCTCCATTCAAAAATGTAAGGCATTTTTTGAAAAGTTAGATATTAAAAAGTGTAAAGCATTTTTAAATTTTTGAAGTATAATTATTACTTTTTTTCAAAAGTGCCCTATTGATAGTGACTTTATATTTATTATAGAGTGTTTAATAAAAATAAATATAAAAAAAATAGAATTTGTTTGAAAGTAGGTAACTACTTCATTAGGAAGTAAAATTTAATTAAAAATACCTTATATTTTTAAACAAAGAAAGTACAATAATATATTTTTTTTAATTTTAACAACATATTAATATATAATATTTATGAAACGATGAATTTCTCAATTTAGCCCATGTTTGTAGGTGGTTTTAAAAAAAGTAAGGTACAGATACATTTTTATCTTTAAAGTATTTCTCAAAGAGCATCTAACACCTTAACGTGTTTTCGTGGAAATAATTTGCCCTTAAAGTTGTTAAAACAAAACATTTTTACCTTTTTTTTATCAAATTTTCTAACAGTCAATATTTAAAATCAATGTTAAAATTTCAATGAAAAGGACAAAAATGATATGTTTTAATAACTTTAATGACAAAATTAGTTCAACAAAAATATTAAGGTGTTGGGTATTCTTTACAAAATATTTTAAAAATAAAAATGCACCTTACCCAAAGAAAGTAAAAACAACATTTACAAAAATAAAATGTACAAAAACCAAAAAGTCCAACCACCCAATCCAACCCAAAATAATTAAGTTTGACCTAGTCCGGTCTTGGCCTCAGACTACACTGGACCAGAGCATGGGTTCAAAAACTTAACCTGTAGTCATAACTAGATTGGGACCTAGGTTGACTACTGACCGAATTCAACTTGTCCCATGCACACCCCTACATAACATTATTTGAACTCATTGAGTCATTGGGATTAGCCTAAAGAATGTATCATCTGATGCTCACGATATAACTCAATGCCATGGTGAGTATACCTGTCTCGGTAGGGAATGCATCACATGCAAACTGTAGTAAAAATTAATCGAAAAAAAGAAATATTAATGATTTTAATATTGATGGATTGATAATGTATTCTCCATTGCAAGAAGTGAAAGTGAACTAAGAATACTAAAACACGGTAGTATAAATAGATAGGGGTGAGCAAAACCGAACCGAAACCGAAAACCGAATTGAACCAAATTGCGTTTGATCTGTTCGGTTCGGTTTATTCGGTTTAAAAGGTCGGTTCGGTTTTTTTAAAAAAATAATTTGGTTTGAATGGTTCGGTTCGGTTTGAGGATTATGAAACCGAATAAACCGAAGTAACCGAAATTAATCAGATACATTTATAAATATTATAATTAATTTATATTATTAAAGATTATATTTTTTAAAATACCAATATCATATAAATTTTTTAAAGATTATATTATTATAATTATATTTTTTATAATTGTCCTTCACCTTTCTTCATCTCGACCCATTATCAGTCTTGGCCCAGCCATACTCGTCAGTCCGCAGTCGTCATTTCTCGGCTCTCGCTCAATTGCTCTTGGAGACTTAGATCAGAGTCATTTAGGTTTAGCTTCTGTCTCCCACTCGGCCACTCTACAGTCCATCACACAGTCGCGACTCACGATTTATGAACCCTAGCAAATAGCAATCTCTGTGACTCTGTATCTCCATCTTGCACTCACTCGATCAGTGATCAATCGACGTCGGATCCTTTGCAGACAGCAATTTGTCGGCTCCTCTCTCGATCTCGGCTTTGAGTCTCTTCTCTCTTTCAGCCCCACTCCATGAAGCACGAACCATAGATCGCCTCAAGCTTCGTCTCCCTCAACCTTCATCATTCTCTCGATCTTAGCTCAGATCAGCGTTCATCTCCCTTCGCCTCAGATTAGCGCTCATCTCCTTTCGTTTTCTCAAGTCCAGTTTGTCTGAGCTCAGGCTTCATCTCCCTTCTCAGATAAGGGAAACTTATAGACGCAAGGTATGGTTCCAGCTAGCAAATTTCTTCATCTCATGCTGATCTCTTCTTCTTTCTCTAAAATGTCTCTGTTTTTGTAAATGCAGGCTCATGTGTATGTTTTCCTTTTTTCTGTGTTCAGATTGTTGAAGCAAGGGATGCACTTCTACAGAAACTCTAAGAGAAGAGAAACTGTCAGGTGGAAGAACGTGAACAATTAAGTCCGGATCAAGAGCAGAGGGAAGATAGTATAATAGGAGGTGGCGGGCAACTGGGTTTAGCACAGTTGAATGAAAATTCAGAGAAAGGAGGTGGCGGGCGCAGGGCTATCCATTCTAAAAGTAAGGATTCGAAAGATGAGTTAAATGATTGGCTTGCTGTTGATGATTTTTAATTAGATTTATTGATTGATTCAGTGATTAAAAAGGTTTAACTTCTGTCCTAATTCTGGGGCTCTGTATTTAGAAAAATTTCACAATGGTGTAAAGGATTTTGTACTGAGTTCTCCCAACTTAACTTTTGAGAAGTGTGTCTCAAGCTTTGTTTTGTTTAATGGTTCAGATGTCTGCCTCCCGTGAAGGTGAAGGACAAACTATCACTCCAAATAGCCAAACACTAACTCCATCTTCAACATCTAATACTGAAGTGAGTTCAAGAAAAAGGAAGGCCATACAGCCAAGGTCTAAAGTTTGGGAGCATTTTCATAAATATGTTAATGAGCATGGAGAAACCAAAGGTAAGTGCAATTATTGTGAAAGGGAGTTTTTCTGTGATCCAAAAAGGAATGGGACTACTGCACTTAAAAATCATATGGGTGTGTGTAAGAAACGGCCTCCTCCTGAAGAAGGCATACAAACCCACTTAAATTTTGGTATAGATGATAATGCTTCTATTCTTGCTAACTGGAAATTTGATCAAGAAGCAATTAGGAAATCTTTGGCAAACATGGTTATAACTGATGAACTTTCTTTCAAATTTATTGATGGATTTGGGTTTAAACGCTTTATGGCTGCTGCTCAACCAAGATTTAAGGTTCCTTCTAGATGGACAGTGGCTCGTGATTGTTTTAAAATTTACATGGATGAGAAAATTAGATTCAAAGACCACTTGATTAGAAACAAACAAAGGGTTTGTCTAACAACTGACACTTGGACTTCTATTCAAAGAATCAATTACATGTGTATTACTGCTCATTTTATTGATGCTGACTGGAATTTGACTAAGAGGATTTTGAATTTTGTTCCAATATCTAGTCACAAGGGGAGGGATATTGGAATAGAAATTGAGAAGTGTTTGCTTGAATGGGGAATTGATAGAGTATTTACTATTACGGTAGACAATGTTGCTTCTAATGATGTTGCTTTATTGTACTTGAAAGAAAAAATTTCTAATTGGGGCTTTTCTATCATGAAGTGTCAGTTTTTACACATGAGATGTGTTGCTCACATTGTAAATTTGATTGTTGTTGATGGGTTGAGATTAATAGGGAGTTCTGTGAAGAGAGTTAGGGAGGCTGTTCAGTTTGTTAGGCAATCTGCCCTTAGGATGAAAAAGTTTAAAGAGAGTTGTGAGGATGAGAAGATTCAAAGTAAGAGCCTTTTGACTCTAGACGTCTCTACTAGGTGGAACTCTACTTATTTAATGTTGGAGAATGCTCAAAAATTTGAGGCAGCTTTTAAGAGGTTTGAGGACAAAGACCCTTACTTTCGCATTGATCTTGAACAAAGGGAGGGGATGCCTGATGCTGCTGATTGGAGGAATGTTAGAAGGATGGTGATGTTTTTGAGTCATTTTTATGAGATGACCTTGTGTGTGTCTGGTGCTTTTTATGTTACATCCAATAGCTTGTTTTATGAGATTTACATGATATATCGCCTTTTGGATGAATGGACAAAGTGTAATGATTTTGAGCTATCATCAATGGCTTTTAAAATGAAAGAAAAATATGACAAGTATTGAGGAGATCCTTTAAAGATGAACCAACTCATTTATATTGCTGCTGTTCTAGATCCTCGATATAAGTTGGAATGGGTTCAATTTGCTCTTTGTAAAATGTTTAATGATGAAGGTGAAAATTTGGCAAAGCAAGTGAAGGATGTTTTCATTGCTTTATATCATGAATACAAAGAACATGTCTCTCCCTCTAAGCAATCTGAAAAGGAGCAGCTTATGGATGAAATCCAAGCTGATTTTGGTGATGAGGATGACCCTACTATGAAGGTTAGAAAGTTGCTTGAATCAGAAAAGAGAAAATTTTTAAGTGACCCTCTTGGTGGAAAAAATAATAGGACTGAAGTTGATAAATATTTGAATGAGAAAATTGAAATAGATAGACCTAACTTTGATATCTTGGGCTGGTGGAAATTGAATGGTCTTAGATTTCCCATTCTTTCAAGGTTGGCAAGTGATGTTTTGACAATACTAATATCCACAGTTGCTTCAGAAGCTACATTCAGCACTGGAGGACGTGTTTTGGATGCATTTAGGAGTTCTTTAACTCCTAAAGTTGTGCAAGCCCTTATTTGTGCTGAAGATTGGCTTCGTCACTCCATTCCTGTGCTTGTGGAAGAGAAATTAGATGATATTCAAAGGATTGAAAGTGGTAAAAATTTTATAATGTTATGTATGTGCAATGTTACCTTTAAAATTCATTTGTTTATGATTTAATTTAACTCCTAAATTGATTTATTTGTAGATTTTCAAAAAATTGGATTAGAATCAGCAGTGGATATAGTTTGAACTCTTTAAGGTAATTCTTCATTATTGCTGTCCATGAAAATTGGTTCATGTAGTTGTGATCTTTGTTTTATTGTTGGTTTTTGTAGTTTTCTAACTTCTAGTGCCTGGTGGACTGTTGGTTCTTGTTGCTGTTTTCTTCTAGTCTTTTTGGTGGTTAGTTTTTTAATAAACTTGTTCATTTTTTTAGTTTTGTAATATTTTGGCCAGATGTTTAACTATTTTCTTTTATAATGTAGGCTAGAGCAAAAATTGTGTCATTGACAACTGACAACATGTGATGATCTAATGAATTAGTTATTTTGGATTATGTAAAAACTCTTGAACTTATTTGCAGTTTTTTAAGGGATTATTGTTGTTGTTTGGTGGATTATTTTGGATTGTTAAGAATTTATATTAGGTAAATTATCAATTTATAAATTATGTGTCTTTTGCTCTGCTTCTTCAACTTATAATGACTGAATTTGATTATTTTATTTTTGATATTTCTAGATTTTACAGCCTCATTTATAAGGTCTATTTAAAAATCCCTTGATTCCCCTTTAGGATTTTGTGTTTTAAACTATTTGTTAATCAACATCTTTTTTAGATAAGTCCAAAATGCTGTCAAAAAAGGCCCAAAAATGTTGTCAACAAAAAGCCCAAAATGCTTCCAAAAACAAGCCTAAAATGTTGCCAAAATGAGGCCCAAAGTGTTGTATATAAAGCCCAATAACCGAAATACAAAAACCGAACCGAACCACTAAACTTCGGTTCGATTCCACTTCGGTTTTTATAAACCTTCGATTCGGTTCAGTTGAATAGTTTGATGAATTTCAATTTTTTCGGTTCACTTAAATCAGAACCGAACCGAACCGTTGGAACCGATGCTCACTCCTGTAAATAGAAGTCACTTGACTCTATTGAGATCGAGCAGTAACAAATTTAGCTTTACATGATTATATAAAAATATTTTAATCTTATAGTTGAAAAGAAAGAGATATCTTTTGAGTCCTCCTAATTTTAATATTTAAGGTCCTTAATCTTAAATATGGTCCTGAAGGGTAACCCTTCCTTACATTATTTATTTCCCTAATTCTACGCAAATCTAGGAAGGTAAATATCTGATTGTAAACAAAGATAAACAGTATATAGCACTGTATATGATATATCTACCCCCACATCAAAAAGAAAAAGTGAAGTGAAATTATATAAGATCATCTCCTGAGAAATCCACCTGGTAAGACACCCTTTAACTTTTTTCCAAACACAACACGGAGTGCTGAACCCAAGAGAGGCCAACTTGTGGTAATAGCAATATAAACAAGCAACCAGATGGACCATCGATTTTGCCGAGATAACTGGCCTAAATATCTCCTGAAAGGTGCTATTACATCAAGGGGCATGGCATCACGTTGCACACTTGGAGTTTCTGCGACGCTAGGGGTATTGCCATGGTTTGGATCGGTTCTAGGCACTTCAACTTGTTCTTCCAGGAATTTTTCACTAGTTTGATGCTCATCGGCTGATATTACTTGTGACTCTTCTTCATTCTGTGTTGTTTGTTCCGTGTTCGATGCTGCGACCATTCCATTTTCAGTAAAATTTACATATGGGCCCTGGTCGATTGGTGTGTCCCATGGCGTGTGTGGTTTAGACATCTGCAACATTCATTAATTACGCAGAACAGAACGGTTTCAGCTGGAAGAAATGATCTGAATATAGCTACGAAATCTATCAACGGGCATATTACCAAACATATATGAAAGGTATATAGTAGAATTGAAGCATTTGTAACTTATCAGCAAACAAACAAAATATCAGTAGGCATATTTTCACCTCCTTCTGCACATGCATATATTTGCTATTGTGTAGCACACCAAAAAATTCATTTGCAGCTCTTACCCACCTGCAAGAAAGGAAAACAAGACCAATGGCTCATTACCTTAATGGTTGCTTGATAACAGATGTATTAAGTTCCATCTATCGGGCAATTATTAAAAAAAAAAAAAAAGAAGAAGAAGAAGATCATTAATGATACTACTCTACTGCACTAAAATATCATCCGATGTCACTTGTTTTCACCAACCAAAGTTGAGATGAGTGAGAGAGGCTCTCGTCACTTAAGGAAATGGTTGGAGGTTTGAATTCCAACCCTTATATATATAATAATTTAGTTAAGAGAAGTCTACCAATTACTCTCAATACCTAAGGAGATATTCTTTATTATCAGAAGAGCCTACTCTGTATACTTATCAACACAAGATATCCTGTGCTTGCCCATCTCTTAGCAAAGCCAAAAACAGTTTCGTTGATGGCTAAAGTCAACTCATCCCTATACCATTATTGGCCAAGACATTACGAAGACACTGCTCAAATCAACTATGCCATGAAGTACTAAATCTTACCCAAACTTACCAAGCAAGAATGAACATTTTTTTGAATACTTTCCCCCCCGTTTTGTCAATACTTTAGCTCCAATCTCCAAAGAAGCTAGTTGAATGAGATTATTGGATCAAACATCATGTTGGTGATCAGACGCGCAAGAGAACCCACCAAGATGGACAATTTCTGAACGCATTTCTTTTCTGGGTTTTGTTAATACTTAAGCTCCAAAAAATCTAATTAAACGAGATTATTGAATTTAACAATATGCTAATTAACAGACCCATGCAGGTGCCAAATACCACAGCCTAGCTTTCAGGCCAAAGTAGTAAAAAAGGGGAGAAAAAAGAAAACAAAAAAAAAAGTTTTAAAAAAATATACCACAGGCTAGATGCAGTTATTCCCTCAAAGAAGGCCAGATGTCCTCCGTGCTTTGTAGTAGCCATCACAACATTCTTATTTGCCCTACAGAAAAACGTTACATTTGATGCTGAAGCAACGAAAGAAAAAGCAAATTAATAGGAAACAAGGAATTCAATAAAAGCAGGAAACCTGCATTCATCCCAGGGAATGGCTTCTCTGGTACAGACTGGATCATCTAAGGCACTAATACAGAGAAGCGGAACAGCCACAGATTGTACATAAAGTGAGCTGCTACAACGCCTATAGTAGGTATCAACAGTCTAAGGGCATAACAAACTTGACGTTACACGTACGAGGGTTGGCAAAAACTAGGTTAGAAAAAGAAAATTATGCATCATATGCAAGATTTTAGTACCTCATATTTCCCAACTATGCGAGTTGCATGATCATCAAAATCTCGAATAGAGAGTGACTACCAAAGCAGAAAGTATAGTAAATCAACTTAAGTTTTGACCAATACAAAAAAATCACATGATGCATACAGCACTGATAATACGCCATTGATAATTGATAAATGGCAAAAGTCATTCCGATTACTTCTAGCTGAAATCATATAATCAAACTTCAACTACTAAAACATGCAAGAGTGCATGCCATAGAATAACCGAATCCAATTTGTGCTAGTTGTTTGCTAGACCCTTGATAATGGAAATCAAACATGGGGACATGGACACTTATGCCGGATGAGGAATCTTCTTCCAAAAGCTAGCTTGAGGAGGAGGGTTACCTATAACTGGTTGTTGAAAACTCCAAATGAAGACTTCAATTGATGAGGAAGTTGAGTGAGGCGTGGTAGAGTGTAATTACCGAGATGTCAATTCTTCAAGGAGAACTGACTGATGGAGATTAAGGTATTATAGGATATCTAAATCCTACATTGAGTAGAATGGGACGCTTTATAGGGTGCTTAAATCTTAAATTGGTTGACTTGTCACCTCAATAGTTAACTTTTTCAGGGAAATGGTTCCCATCCCACTAGGGCACCTATCATAATTTTTTAGTTAACATGAATTGCTGGGCATTAGGCTTTCTATGCAAAGATACATGGTTCTTATGAATGCAATTTGAATAGAAAAGGAGTCTAGGATGGTTTGTCAAAGAAATTGAGCTCTTAGAAATTGGTACATTAATCATTTATGCCCCCAAGAAAATACGAAAACTTGACACCCAAATAAAATAGATATATCTAAAACTAAAATAGCAGCTGTTACGTGGTGAGAGACCAGAAAACAAAATAACACAAATACTGATTCATTCATGCCTTTTCCTCTACATATCCTCCCCTATTTATACTAATGGAAGAGCACATAAGTTTCCTACAGCACCAAGCCCCCCCTTAACTACCCAGGACCAATTCCCTAATAACTGCCCTTAATCCATGTAATAGCAGCTTTACTATTAGAGTACAAGTAACACACTTGCATCCACTGTAATACAAAGTTGAGTGTTTTGTGAACTGAAGCTTTGTGACCTAAAACTTCAATATTATTACAGATTGAGCTTATCTTAATATCACAAGAAGAGCTTGATTTTTCTTTACCAATAGAGAACAATTCAACATAAAATATGCATCAGATATCAGGAGCAGCATACAATTAGCAGATCCATAATAAAAATAACACGACAAACCACTTTATTCCCTCATAAAAACTAACAATGCAGTAGATGTAGTTAAACAGTGTAGTTATAGAGAGGAAAGATACTTTTTCAATTCCTTCCCAATTTGCTAGGCGAGCAAAGTGAGGCTGGTGCCTGCAGTTGTGATTTATTCACAAGATATCAAATAAACGCATTATATTGGAGTTGGCATCTGCAGATATAATATTTTATCAACTAGACACGAAATCAATGGTTTATCAACCAGAAATATAAATTAAACCGTAAAGGTGGCACAGACATACATTTTGGCATAGCCTTGAAGTCCAATTGCAAGAGCTCTATCATAAAACTTTTGGACAAGCCTACGGCTTATAAATCTGTCTCCTATCTGCAAAGAAGAATACAAAACCTATAAATTCCAGTTGAAGTGCAAGAATAAGCAAAGCCAAAATAAATTTTGATCATACAGTATTTAGTAATATCAAAAAGGAAATAAAACCCACTGAGGCTCAACCTTTCAAGGCAAACCATTCAGTACAGAATAGAGTTTCACAGATGAACTTCATATAACTCATGTTGAAAGTTTATCCAGAACTTTCTAACCGTCAAATGCCTTCTATCTTTTTCATATGTTTCTAAATTGAAATGTGTAAAGAAATTTCTACCTTCTATCACAACCAATTAAGAGAAGAATTGTCTTTCAGAGACTAAATTGAGAGACTATCTTTGGCGGACCAAATTGAGAGGAGAGCAATCTTGCCAATAATAAATCATTATTTTAGAAAGCTTGATTGAAATAAGATGATTCTCTGTCCATTTAGCTATCATCCATTGTCAGTGTCTTTAGAAACCTATCAAAAGCCTTTTTCTGTCTTTTTCTGTCTTTTTCATCTAAAAAGCAATATTCATGACCAACAGTATTGTATCTTTTGATCTGAAGATGACCTATCTATGAAGTAAACTAGATCATTGGGAGGATAAAAGATAAGTAGCTGGAAATATTCAATTTTGAATGGAAATATAAAAAAAATTAGATTTCAACGGTTCCACTCAAAAAAAGAAAGAAAAAAAAATAGACATGTGAAATATGTATTGTAGAAAGCAATCTAACTGGCTTTGCTAAATTCACATATCACACTAATTGTTTGCCATTTGAAATGCCAAATTAAGGTACAGTTACTTTCAAAATTAAATGACTAACCAAAAGGTCCCAAGGAGAGCAAATAGCTACAGCCCCAGCCACAGGAATATTTTCACCTTCCTCACCAAGATATTTCACCTGCATGCATATTCGAATTATATAGGTTAACAATGACAGAACAAGAGCCCAGATTAACAATGTAAAAGGTCCCCATTTGCATGCTGCTAAGGAAGAAAATGAATTAAGCTTCAATGGCTATACCTAATTATTGTGATCAAATTAAAGCATAAACATAAAGCAGTCAAAATTTATCAGTGCAGGATATAGAACATCAAAAATTTGAAGTATTGGATTCTTTTATTTTATTATGATTATGTGAACAAACAACTTACTACAAAGCTATCTTCACTGTCAATATAAGATTAAAATATGAATAGATTTTTCTAGCCAGTATAGGAAAGTAGGCATGCAGATAAGGAACCAGTAGGATCTTTCGCAATTTTCCTTCATCTTTTTTTTTTCATATTGTCACTTGCTTATGGTGAGGGTAGAGGGTCAGAGAAAGGTAATTCATTAATAATAATCATTCAAGCGAGAAATATGTACATGATTGCATTCCCATGTGAGGAACTGATAAATCATTCATCTATAGCAAAATGAGTTGAATCCTAGAACTAAACCAGAAAAAAGAAGAAAGTGTAGTAGTCATTTTATCTGTCAGTAAAAACAATTTTTTCTTTTGTAAATTTATTAGCTCCCTTCTATAAATGGTACCATCACAAAAGAAAAGAAAAAGGTATCACAATCATTGGCAATCTTCCAAACACTACAGTAAATGTGTTGCGAACTAAGCTTGATGTGATTGTATGTAAACAAAATTTTGACACGCAGTCAAATATGAGCAGTTAAGACATTGGATACGAGCACCACAAAAGACTTGAGCTATGAAACTTACAAGAACATTGGCACCAATACTAGTTCCAACAACAAATAGAGGAGCCATGGGGTACTCTTCATGTAAATACTTAATCACTGCACGAGCATCCTCAGTCCATCCAGCATTGTAGAAACAATCAGACTTCAAATTTCAAATAAAAGAGATGGCATTAGTAAAGAAAAACAAATGCATTTTTACAACAAACCACTTCAAAGGAATAAGCATAGACGAAAAAATGCATTACAGGATAATCACTCGTTATTTCACCTATTTTTGGACCTGACAAGATACAAAACAATGAGGTTCAAAAGTAAAATAAAATCAACATGGGATGTCCGCTCTCACTGGTGGAGGTGGTACTTCTTTATTTATTTACCCATTAATTTACTTAAAATTGTTTAGAAACTGATCAATAGTCCAAGGCTAACTCTTACAAGTCAACTGGGAAAATAAGCCAGAGAATAAAGAATAGTTTGAGATGGCCATCACCTTCTTGATCTATAAGTTCAGAATTAATAAATAATTTATGATCTGGAACTCTTATTATAATCATCCTCGCCACCATAATTAGGAGCTGCCATCCTCTTAGAGCATGCACTTCTGTATTCAGATTTATCCAGTTAAGTGACCTAAAAAAGTGAGGGGCTGCATATGTTTGTGCATATATGTGCAAGAGAGCAAGTCCTCCAATGACAACTTTGTTTTAATAATATATTTCAACAAGCAGGGGGAAAAGGAACATATCTCGCCATTAAAACTACATTAAAATGATGGATAAAGAATCAACATAATGCAGGACGGGAATTAATGGAAAAAAAAAAGGTTATGTTATAGTGAATGACTAATCAGAGGATTTCCACAACAGATACTTACCAATCTATCCACTAATCTTCAATTCTAATAGTGTTAATATGATTTAAAGAACCTCTGAAAGACTGAAACCACAAATCAGAATAAGAGACAGTGATGGCCCAGTAAGTTTCTGTACAAGATTTCTTAATATTTTAGCTTGATCTCAATCTCTGATATCAAGCATGGGAATGAGTAGATGGCTTATAGACATATATATAATGGATTAAATTCACTGTAGACTATCCAGCTTCAACTAGCTAATTGATCGGGCCTTGTCAATCCATCTAGTATTACTTCACTTTTGCGGATTCTTTTTCAAACTTTTAAAGAAGGGCACGAAGGCATCTCTCTTTCCTGGTTTACTGGATGCTAGACATAAATTTCCTGCAATTTTGTTAACATGTATTCATTCTAGTTCGAGCTCTATTGTCATTGTACAGATTTTTTAATTCCCGGACTGAGAAGGGAAGCAACAACAATATCTCAGGATTAAGGGGTGGGTGGCTTCTTCTATAGAGGGCTAGTATAAGTTGCCATAGTCATATCATCCATCTATAAATTTTGTTTTCTTCTTATTTTGGTGGCCAACATCATTGTTTGCATCCAAAAGTTGTGCCCCCATTTGGTATATTATTTAAAAAAACTAATTTTGACAAAAGGTAAAACGACAGTCCGTTTTGTATACTTATGCATCAATCACATTTGCATTGCGTCACAGAACCTTGCTTTGAAAACACACACACACCCACACACACACTTGCAATTGCAATTGCAACATAATTGTAAACACTTGTATGGGAAAATATGATATAACTACACAATTTCTATAATTATCTGCAGTACTTATCAGCTTGTAGAAAGACTAACCGTAATTGAAACACCTCCCAGTCCTCGGTGATTACTGATCACTACATTCCATCCTCCCTTTGCTGTACAGAATGCAAGATGTTTGAGATACTACAGACAAAATACCATAAGGTGTCACTATAATATAAAATAAACACCCTATTCTACCACACAGAGAGAGAGAGAGAGAGAGAGAGAGAGAGAGAGTTTTAAACAGCATGGGAGAGGGGATTCATATGATAACACGGATAGATGACATCACTTACAGCAGATGACGAGTCACTTGTTAGACCAGGAATTACTACAACAAGAGGAGTAGGGTCATCTTTAGGAACAGCATCATCCTCATGGAGAGCACCATGAGACACTGCAAGGCAATAAAATACAAAATACGTAAGATGAAAATAAAAACTTATGCTACAAGTTAACATTTAAAATAAAAGTAATATTAAGTTCACAATGAATGAATGTGAGATAACATGTCATATGACAAGAACAAAATGGTGACACTGTCAGAAATTCATTAACCTGAAGTCATGTAAGTACTAAAGCTATGGGCTTATTAGTTTATATACCATGTAGAAACAAATTAACCATGTACATTCAATATTAGAACACCACTCAATGATTAAATATTTCATACATACCATCAGAGCTTCTCAACCAGTCCAAAGCGATGGTTCCACCATCAGAAGTTTCATACAATTGTCTGTAAGACAATAAGAGCAATTGTTAGATGAAACACAGAATAAATTAACCAGACTCTACCAGAAAGCTAAGAGGTATTAATATGGATACAAGATATGACCCAGTACATCCACTGCAATGCAAGAAGCATTTATGTTTAAATGCGCTTTGAAGTGTTGTGTCATATATGATTATGATATGCATGTCAGATACATATTAAACACCATATGACTTTGCTTTCAATGTATTGGTGAATAACCAGAGAGCATATGTCATCAACAGTAAGATATAACGCTGCAACAAGAGATCAACAACATTAATTCCCAACCAGGAACGGAGCCAGCAAAGAGACCCGGGGGGCAGTTCTTAAAGATTAATATACACATACATATATTTTTAAATAATGTTAATTTAAATTTTTTAATATTTATAATAGTTTTCTTAAAATAATTTTATTAAGTAAAAAATGTGTATTACTGATTATATAAATATTATGCTTTTATAAATATTAAGTTTCATTATACTTATAATCACTGTAACAAAATAAAAAATATATGTTATTTCTATATAAATATAACAATATAAGATATATATATATATATATAAATAGAGATGAAGAAAGATATAAAATATATATATATATATATATTTACACACACTGTTTTGGAGGGTATCCAGTTTCAATTCGCGATGCCAGTTTGGGGTGGGAATTTTGCTCCTACTGCTGAAAATACCTCACATTAATACAGCAAAACACAAAATTATAATCAAATCATAATCCCAAACCAGAAAGATGACAAGCAAAACATTAACACAACTCTTTTCTTTTGGAAACTTTGTTTTTTTTCATTTCTAAATGTTGCTACTTACCACTGGTTATCTGATGTAGTACATTGTTTCTCAACATAGTCCAGGGAAAAAATGAAAATGTGAAGTTTAGTAACTTAATTTAGTAATGCATTATCAAATTCTTCCAGATTACTAACACTACACCAATAAGAACAAGCATGTAGACAAACCAACGCTACAAGAAAATGCTTTCCGAATCAAATATAGTATCCCTTACCAAGAGCAGCATATATAAATCTGCCAAACACGATGTCTCTAAATTATCTATCTCTTTTTACGGGAGCACATTGACAAAAGTAAACGTGAGAGCAAAGTAAAATTGAAACCTTCTGTACTTGAAAACGGGGGGCCTTCCGAAAAAATTCAAAAAACAAGTCTGCACGTGAGGGCTTGAAAGCCAGAGCGTCGGCAAATACCTGAATAATTAGATTCCAATCAACAACAAAAAAGCAGCGAGAATTCGAAAATTCGGTTACCCAGAAAATCGAATCAAGATAAGGCTAGCCATACCTTCCATGGAGCAGCGAGCACTTGGAAACAACGCCTTCGTAGATTTGAGAGCAAGAGTTGTACGTTAAACTCACGGGAGAGCCTCTTAATCCGGAGAAAAAATCTTCGACGAAATGAAACTCCAAGAAATTGTAAAGGAATGTGATAAAAGCAATGGCGGTGGCAATTAAGTAATGCCACAACGGAATCAAAGAGAGAGCAGTGAGCAGAAGGCAGTAGGCATCAGAAGGGTAGGCATTGAAGGTTGCGCAATCCATGAGAAGGAGGGATTTGAAACTCCTTCAGTTTGGATTGGGAATTCGAAGCTGAAGAGAGAGATTTCAGTCATGAGGAAAAAGGAAATTGTGTGGTGACGGAACTCACGAAGCCATGTCGGATGAATCAAACAAGACAAAGCCTGATGGCGGTGGGGCCAGCTGGAGGAAAACCAAGTACCATTCACACGCAAAAAGCCAGGAACGATTACCTCATCACCCATAACTTTTGGAGAAAATCAGGGAAAACATCACTTCCGCACTTTCCTCGTATTTTATTGTAAATTTTTGTACTTTTTTTTTGTATTTTGTACTTTTTTTTTTGTATTTTATGTTGTTGCTTTCTCCTCTGATCCTATTTATAAATTATTTCTACTAACCTCATTAATATCAATGCAATAAAAGTATAAGAAATAAAAGTAAGTAAAATTTTAAACATATCCTTATATAACAAATCTAAAAAATAATGTCCTGTTATTTTTTCTCTCTCATGAAGAATAATTTTGAAAATAACTCTCAAATATTACCTAAAAAGACGCACCATGACTTATAAATGGGACCAAATACACCTTCTAAAATGAGACTTATAAATGGAACCGAAGGGAGTAACATTCTATATGAGTAAAGTGTAAAAATTTTAAAAAAACTTGTACAAATTTATAACATTAAAAAATATAAAAATCTATGATAAAATACAAGTAAATTAAAGGAATTAAAAGTTATATTTTTTAATAAAATTATTAAAAAGAACAGAACTCATGTCATATACACAAATCCTGTCCATGGCAAGAGTCCTTTATCCTCCGTTTGTTTGGGTAGGAAAAAAAGGTGAGAGAAAAAAAAATAAAAACATATTATCACTCTTTGGATCTCATTTGGTTCATTAGAAGCATCTTGGAGAAAATGAAATTAGAAAAAAAAAATACAATTGAAATAGGAAAAGGAATTGAAATTTTTTTAGAAGTGTTATTTGGTATGGCTGAACATTTAAATGAAATTTTTGTATAAATCTTGTTTGATATGCAAGAATTGAATATGGAAAAGAAACTTGAACATATTAAAAGACAATAATACCCATTAGAATAATAAACTAATAAACTAATAATATTAATAAATGTTAGCAAACATCCATTTATTCATATATTTATATGTGTTAAAAAAACAATAATAAACTAATAAATTGATATTATTTTTTGTTAGAAAATAAATTGACGACACTAATAAATGTTTATTAATATTTTTATGTTCGATTAAAAAATAAAAGATATATATCCAAAATGGTTGCGTTTCACATATTTCATGTATAAATTGATCCAAATTTAAATCGAAAGGATTTACGTGCAAAACATGCAGAATAAATATAATGTGTAACTCTCTATATTTCATAATTAAATAAATATTAATTTATTCATATAATTTCATATTAGTTAATAAGCATAATACTTTAGAAAAAAAACATAAATATTAACTAGTCATGTTTGTTCAAGAGACTTCAAAATCAAATGCACCAAAAAATCATTATGTCTGAAAATTAGGAGAGAAAATACAATGGATCCCATACCTTATTTTCTCCTTCACTTTTTCCTCCTTCCATTTTTTTTTCTCATCCAAACATGGGAAAAATTGTTTGATCTCCATGTTTTCTTCCCATCTAAATAAAGCATCAGTCCGTGATTCAATCCAAGACAATTCGATCTGAATAAAGAGAGTGAGAAAAAATCAGACTTTTTCTTTTTGGATTGGACTAGATAAAAGATTGAGGGTCTAAATTACTTGGTCCAATCTAATTATATAAATTTATTGAATATAATTACAATTAATTTATTAATTATTATAATAATATGTCAAGTCATCTTATTCTGTACACCTTCGTCTTTGACTTTCCATTATTGAGATTTTGATTTAAATTAGTTGGGCTGAGGGGTTGCTTGTGTTGGAAGTTCAGTTTCAAATCTCCTCTGCCCTCTACGTGACTACTTTCTCATGAGTCATGACTGTATATCTTGAGCAATTAATGCTATTCGGATAGAATATGGCACCTTGCTGTAATTTTTGGTTATCTACCAAGTGTTGCAATTCTGGATCATGATATCTTTTCTCTGTATTCTGCATGCTGACGCGTTAGCCGACATTTTGGTCTCTTCAGGTTGTTCTGAGCTTCTAGTTTTCAAAATAAGAGCATAGTATAATTTGTGCAGCCTCGGGTATGCTGTAAAGAATAGACTTCCAACTCCCAAAGTTGTGTTGCATCGCATTGTTTTGATTGTACGTAGAAAAGTAAGATTAAGATATGTGGTTTTTTCCCCCTAGTCTGGGTGCGTTTTAAACTAAGATTATGCTCTTTGGTTCAGGTTAGTGCAAAATTTTATGTTTGGAGAAAAATATAGCACTGATTATAATTCTACCTTTAGTGTGTTACAGTTTAAAATGAAAATTTTGGGATTTATATATAAACAGGACTGCTGTAAATTCAGTTTTGATGGTTATTTTTCATGCCATAATATCCGGTTTGTAGGCTACGTTGAGCTTGTGTTGATGGATACTTATAGGCATATGTTTCTGCCAAATGTTCTGTCTTTTCTTTTCTTTTCTTTTCTTTTCTTTTTTTTTTTGCGCTTGGCCTGTGCCAAATGTTTCGTGTGTTAGTTCTCAAATTCTGCACTTATGTTATTAAAATTGTTCAGATATGATATTCCTAGATACATGCAGCTTGTTATTTCAAATTATGGTTACCTTTTAGTTTCATAAGTACAGTAGAATATAAGATCGACTTCCTCTTTGTATTGCCCTGTACCAACTCTCTACCCGTACACGCTGAAATACAGTAAAAGGTTTCCTTCATTTAATCACTGAATGGATTTTATGTACTGTTCAAGATGAAAAGCGTAACTTGTTATAAACTTTATATTTACTACTTAGTATTTACTATTGATTGATTGACTATTGATTTAAATTTATTTGGGTTGAGGAAGTTCAGCTTCGAATCTCCTCTGCTTGCTCCATTGACTGACTACTGATTTAAATTTAGTTGGGCTGAGGAGTGAGCGTTGAAAGTTCGGCTTCGAATCTCCTCTGCCTGCTGCATTGACTACTTTCTCATGACTGTAAATGAAGTATTGGCACTTGACAATCTGAGTCATGATGTCTTTTCTGTATTCTGGTTGATGATGTTGTATGTGTGTCAAAAGTGTGTGTGTCAAAATTTCACATTGACTAAAAGAAAGACTCTCCTAGTGTATGTATACTAAGGAATGAAGTGGGCTAATAAAATGAGCTTGGAGGAGAAGTGGTTTTGCTCACATGAGATAGGCCAATTTAAGGCAATCGCAGTTGAAATCAGTTAATTTACCTCCCTGCACGCGCGAGTTAAATAATTATTTTGGCTGTGAACGTTTTTTGATCATTAACCAAATTAATTTCCTAAATGTTTTGTCTTCCCAACGTTTTCACAGACAAGTATTTAAACGATTTTTATGACAGTGTAACCGAGCCTAGCAGATAGAAGTTCGCTGTCCAAGCCTACCGTCGGTGCCGCCAACAATCTTAAGAACTAGTCAATCCAATGGTGACGAACAGTGCTGAGAATGTCACTCCTGAAGGTGTGCCCAGTGGTTCGGCCGGAGGTCAGTATGTCCCTGCCGCTGTTGCTGTCCCCCTACCGAGGCCATTCCCGGACATATCGAAGATAGAAGTCTTTGATGGTCGGAACTTCAAACACTGGCAAGAACGAGTCTTCACCGTTCTTGACATGCATGGTGTGGCTGCTGCTCTTGCTCAATCCGAGCCTCCTACTGATATTGATCAAGCTCAGAGAGTTGCATGGACTCATGCAAACAAGGTATGCCGACACACTATCATTAGCACTTTATCTAATGATTTGTTCGATGTCTACTGTGTTTATAAGGAAGCTTGTAAGATATGAGAGTCCTTGGTGACAAAGTACACTGCTGAGGATGCCGACAAACGAAAGTTCGTCGTGGGCAAATGGGAGATGACCGAGAACAAGGATGTGAAGGAGCAAATCAGCAAATATCATAAGCTGTTGGAGGAGCTTCATGCTGAAAACATCAACCTTCCAGACAAGTTTATTACTGGGATACTGATTGAGAAGTTGCCAGAATCATGGTCTGACTACAAACAGCAGCTGAAACACAAACAAAAGCAGCTATCCTTGACTGACTTAATCACTCACATCATCATCGAAGACACCAACCGCAAGGCAATACGTGCAGCTCGAACTAGAGAAATGACATCCAAAGCCAACCTGGTGGAGACAAAGCCTCACAACAAGAGGTATGATTCTAAAACTAAAGACAAGAAGAATATAAAATCTGATTACAAACCTAATGCTTCTAACCCCTCTTTCAAAAAGAAAGGAGACTATTTTGTCTATGGTAAACTAGGACACTATGCAGCACAGTGTAGGAAGAAAGCAAACCGTGATAAGCTTCAGAAGCCAAATGTAAATTTAGCACAACGAGATGGTGACAGTGATGATGACATCATTGCTGCAGTGGTGTCACAAGCTCTCTTGATTTCTGCTGTGAAGAAATGGGTGGTAGACTCCGGGGCTATCAGGCACATATGTGCGAGCTAAGAGATGTTTACCACCTATAATCCTATAAAGGAAGGGGAAGACCTTGTTTACCTTATTGATTCCCGAACTGCTAAAGTTCAAGGAAAAGGAAAAGTGGTCTTAAAGCTCACATCAGGAAAGACTCTAGCTCTGAACGATGTTCTGCATGTGCCTGAAGTTAAAGCTAACTTAGTGTCAATTGTTCTTTTAGGGAAAGCTAGGGTTAAAGTGTCATTTGAATCTGACAAGATTGTAATGACAAAAAATAATATGTTTGTAGGCAAAGGGTATTGTAATCAGAGACTGTTTGTTTTGAATGTTGATGAAATGAATAAGACTGAATCTTCTGAGTATATGCCTATTTATATGGTTGATTCTTTTGATCTGTGGCATGCTAGACTAGGTTACACTAGTAAAGGTTATATAAATAAGATGCGACAACTTGGACTACTTTCTGAAATTAAAAATAATGATTTTGGAAAATGTGAAGTATGTGCAGAAACTAAACAAAGTAAAAAACCTCACTTTTCTAATCAAAGAGAATCTGAATTACTATCTTTAATTAACACAAATTTAGGTGATTTAAAATAAACCATGACTAGAGGTGGTAAAAAATATTATATTGAAGATGAGGCTTTTGAAAAATTTCTTTTATTGAAGATTTTTCAAGATATATTAACTTTTATTGAAGATTTTTCAAGATATATTAAAGTATACTTGTTAAGAAACAAAGATGAGGCTTTTGAAAAATTTCTTTTATATAAAGCAGAGGCTGAGAATCAGTTAAACAAAAGGATTAAAAAGGTTAGATCTGATAGAGGCGGAGAATATATTTTGTTAAATGATTTTTGTGAAAAAGAAAGAATTATACATGAGATAACACCTCCTTATTCTCCCGAGTCTAATGGTGTTGCAGAAAAAAAATAGAACATTAAAAGAAACGATGAATTCTTTGCTTGTGAGTTCTTCCGCACCTGATAATTTGTGGGGTGAAGCTATTTTATCTGCATGTTTTTTATAAAATAGGATACCTCATAAGAAAACAAAGAAAACACCTTATGAGTTATGTAAAGGGTTTACCCCAAACTTAAAATATTTGAAAGTATGGGGGTGTCTTATAAAAGTTTTATTGCCTGATCCTAAAAAGAGAAAAATTGGCTCTAAAACTTCTGATTGTATGTTTATTGGGTATGCTGAACAAAGTGCAGCGTATCATTTTTTAGTTTTAAAAAGTGATGTTTTAGACCAAAACACAATTGTAGAGACTAAGGATGCTGAATTTTTTAAACATATTTTTCCCTTAAAAATTAAGCATGTTTCTAAACATGTTGAGAATTCAGAGTTTGAATAAAATTTAAATGAGAATTTGGTTTTAAGAAGAAGTAAAAGGCAAAGGAAAGAAATAAGTTTTGAAGATGATTTTTACACTTATTTAGTACAAGATGAGCCGTTAAATTTTTATGAAGCTATTTCTTCTTCTGATGCCAAATTTTGGAAAGAAGCAATAGAAATTGAAATTGATTCTTTAAGAAAAAAATAAAACTTGGGTTTTATCAGATTTTCCCCAGGGAGTTAAGGCTATTAGGTGTAAATGGATTTTTTTTACAAAAAATTTTTCCAAACGGTTCGATTGATAAGTATAAAGCAAGGCTCGTGGCTAAGGGTTTTACTCAAAAAGAAAATATAGATTATTTCAACACATTTTCTCCTGTGACTAAAATTTCTTCTATAAGAGTTTTTATTGCTTTGGCTTCAATTTACAAACTTTTTGTTCACCAAATGGATGTTAAAACTGCCTTTTTAAATGGTGATTTGGAAAAAGAAATTTACATGGTACAGCCTGAGGGATGTGTGATTCCTGGGCAAGAAAATAAAGTTTGTAAACTTGTCAAGTCTTTGTATGGCTTAAAACAAGCGCCTAAGCAATAGCATGAAAAACTTGATCAAGTTTTGACAACTGGTGGATTTTCTACTGTTGAAGTAGAAAGGTGTGTTTATACAAAGCTTGTGAATAATGATTGTGTGATTATATGCTTGTATGTGAATGATATGCTAATTTTTGGCTCTAGTATGTGTGTTGTTAATGAAACAAAAAATTTTCTTTCTTCAAATTTTGACATGAAAGATATAAGTGAAGCCAAGGTAATCTTGGGTGTAAAAATCATAAGGAATGAAAATAGAATCTTGCTTTACCAAGAACATTATGTTGAGAAAATTTTCAGAAAGTTTGGACATCTTGAAGATGCTCCTCTGAATACTCCTTATGATTCGAGTGTGCAATTAAAAAAGCACAAGGGTGACCCAGTTGCTCAATTTGAGTATGCACAGATTATTGGAAGTCTGTTGCATTTGATGAACTTTACTAGGCCTGATATAGCTTATGCTGTAGGCAGATTGAGCAGATATACCCACTGTCCAGGCAGTAAACATTGAGAGGCTCATATTTGAGAGGTACCATGAATTATGGTATATTGTATAGTGGATTTCCCGCTGTATTGGAAAGATACAGTGATGCTAACTAGATTTCGGATTCAGAAGAGACAAAATCTACTAGTAGTTATATATTCACTCTTGGTGGTGGTACAATAACCTGAAAGTCTGCAAAACAGACAATCAACACAAAATCCTCAAGGGATTATGAGTTCATTGCTATGGAGTTGGCTGGGACTGAGGCTGAGTGGTTGAAAAACTTTTTAGCAATATTCCAATAGGTGAAAAGTCCACACCATCAGGGTCTTTACATTGTGATAGCCAGTCTGCAATAGCAACGGCTAAAAATAAGACCTTTAATGGTAAAAGTAGACATATTCGATTGAGACATAATATTATAAGGCAGTTGCTCAAAAATGAGATCATCTCAATCGATTATGTGAAATCAGAGTTAAATCTGGCGGATCTGTTAACTAAACCCTTAGGGAAGAAATTTATTATTGAAACGTCGAGGGGAATGGGACTTAAGCCTGTTTGAAATTAACGGTGATGGCAACCCAACTTTTGTGATTGGAGATCCCATGAAGAAGGTTCAATGGGTAAGAACAAGTCACTTATTAGTTTTGCTAGCACTGAATTTTATCCCTTCTTATGGCTTGAGAAAGTGCTAGAATGCATTGAATGGAGGTTGAGCGAAAGCTCTTAATGTTTTCATAGTCCTTATGGATGGTGTATTCATTGCAGATATACTTGATAAAAATACCTATACAAATGTGGAGTGGGGCCGCTCCTATGAAATCGTGGCGAAATCTCTAGAGCATTTGTTAAAACTAGGCGTGCGCATGGCTGATAGCGTGCAAAACCGTCGTTAACAGCAGAGACTGTGGGGGTATAATCCGATTAATGAGACCTCTAGCACACGCTCAGGATCTGTTGGTTCAATAACAAAGTTACATTGACTTTTCTGTGTGCTAAGTTTTATTAGTCTAGGTTTGGTTCAAGTCGACAGACACTAAATTCAAAGCGATTATCCTCCGTGTGAATAACTCAGACGACCATAGATCCTTTTAACACATGTGGGGGATTGTTGTATGTGTGTCAAAAGTGTGTGTGTCAAAGTCTCACATTGACTAAAAGAAAGACTCTCCTAGTGTATATATACTAAGGAATGAAGTGGGCTAGTAAAATGGGCTTGGAGGAGAAGTGGCTTCGCGCACATGAGACAGGCCAACTCAGGGCAATCGCAGTTGAAATTAGCCGATTCGCCCCCCCGTGTAAGTTCAAGAGGTAATGGGTTCCTTTTACCGAATTATTTTTACAAAATAAATAATTATTTTTGGCTTGTTGGAGAAACTCAATTTTGGCCGTCTGAAGTTTGAAATCAAACCAAGAACTTTTTTTTATCATTAACCAAATTAATTTTCTAAACGTTTCGTCTTCCCAACATTTCCAGACAGGAGGTTAAATGCATTTTACGTTTGTGTAACCCCAACGTTTCCAGACAAGTATTTAAATGATTTTTATGACAGTGTAACCGAGCCTTCAATCTGGTGGTAACCCCCCAACGTTCATGTCCACCTTCGGGCTATATATAGCCATGGGTGCAGACAGAGCGGTACAAGCCTCTTGAGTTTTCGGGGTTCTCTCCTCCCTCTGTCAATTCGTCTATGTTTGCTTTTAGTCTCTGCTGTTCTGCTCCCTTGCTCCGCCGCAGAAAGTGCTTGTTTAATCCTGGGTAACTGCCGGTCCGTCATCCTAGTGTGCCGGAATAGTTCTTAAGGACAGTGTCTTTCCGGGCACGATTCAAGTAGATAGAAGTTCGCTGTCCACACCTACCGTCGGTGCTGCCAACAGATGATGATATTGGCCGAAATTTTGTTATATTAATTTATTTTTGAGCTTCGAGTTTTCATAAGAAGAGTTTACTGAAACCTATAAAGCCTCAGTATGCTCTGCAAAATGGACTTCCATCTATAAGAAAAGCAGGATTAAGATATATGGTTTCTCTAGTTTGGGTGAGTTTTCATTAAGATTATGGCTCTTTGTGAAGTGAAATTGGGGACTAATGGTCATGAATTGATTCTGTTTTCGGTGCGTTAAAGTGAAATTGTGGGATTTATAAATAGGATTTGGACTGCTGTGCATCCAGTATTGATGGTTCTTTTCTCATGCCAAAATATCTACCCTTTTTATGTTACGTTGTGTTGGTGTTGAATGATGGGTACTTGTCAGCGTAAGTTTTTGCCAAACGTTCTGTGACGGTGTCTTTGGTGTGAGATTCTGCACTTATATTCTGTTATCAATACATAGTGTTCTTGTGAATGTGCGGCATCCTGATGAGGCTAAATGTGCCCCAAGTACTTTCAGAAAATGTTGCCACTTGCCACCGCTCTTGCTTTGATTCAGGTTTGTGCAAAATTTTATGTTTGAAGAAAGAAATTAAATTAATGTTGACTTTGATGCTTTGGTTTGAACCTAAAGTAATCTTAACTCTTGATTGTGCTTGATGTTGCTAAATCTTGCGCAAAATATAGGTGGAACTTGGAAGCTAAATTAGCCACGTGCAAAACAAGCACGATCTATTTTATGGGTTTATTTTGTTAGGCTCTTGTTAGATCTACTCTTTGGTGACCCGAGAATTTTGCGGTGGCTAGGCCTGGCCATAGTATTGCTCTTTTAAAAGTGGAATTCCAGTCCAAGGCAAAAGAGTCACATCGACCATGTATTTGTAATCACTCAGGGTAAATCAAACCATCAAGCATTTGCATCGAGGCATTTTAAGATTCTTCGGCTTCGCTGTCCAGGGACGCTAGCGCCAAATCTTCTAACCGGGGTTCCTGAGCTCTCGCTGTCGCCGTCGCCGCTGCCATTGTCGTTGCTGCCGACTTCTTAGCTTCACCTGACCGGAGTTATCTGTCATTGCAATTCAATTTGACACGAGTTTGAATACCCACTCCTTTTACCATCTCCAACCAAAGTTCGCTCCTTGAGACAGCCGTGTCTTCCGTGATATGCAGCCTCACTATTCATTCGGTTTTCTTCTTCGAAGCATTCGTCGAATCAAAATCAATATCAACTTCGCTCACTGCTTGTCTTCATCTGGCTGTTCAGAACTGGTTTCTTGTTGCTTCCCGAGAGGATGATCGCTTCTTTCTCCTGGTGAGCCGCTTTTATGATTTATAGTCTTATCTTATTTCCGTCTTTGATGGGATGTTTGTGAATCTGAGTGCGTTTGTCCTGTCTGTAATTGACGACTGAAGATTTTGATTGTCGAAATTTGATTCCTTCCTGTCACTCTACTCACTTGAGTTTATCGTTTACTGTGCATTTCGTTCCCACTTCTGTTTCTTCGCCTTAGTTTTCTCTCACCTAGTTCATGCCCTTCCAAATTTGCACATTTTGTTCTCCTTTCAAGACAACCAAATACTGGGTCCTCGCTAAGCTTTAGTCACTCTCTTGTCCAATCTTCTTAGCTTCTGATTTTTCTTCGTAAAGTTATAACTTGCTTTTTATTTTATTTTTAAAATTTCTTTTGTTTATTTGTTGGGATTGGATAAGGATAAGCACTCAAATTGAGTCTCATTTATGAAATGAACACGTGTCAGATAGGTTCTCATAAAGTGGACTCTGCTCATAAGGTTTGTGGAAACTACTAATGTCGTTAGTCTGCTTCAGTATTAGTATTAATTCTGCAATCTATTGATAATTATGGAGTTCCTTCTTGTTGAAGTGATTGGTAATGTACTATCCCATGTTAGGTCTGCTCGAGATGTCTTGATTGCATTAGCTACATGTAAGAAATGGAGAGAAGCTTGGCGCAATCACCTGCACACTGTATCTGATGCTATGGAGTTCCTTTGCATCATGTGATATGCCTAGAAATGATGCTTCAGGAGCTCTCCGGCGTTTCCCCTTTCAGAAGATGCATCAGGATATTTGTTAACAACAGTGAGGAACCATTCGTTCTCGATTCCAATACATATTACGAGCTTGATGGTCCAAGTGAAATGAATTCATGAACAGTCATGGCGTGCTGTTATGGGGAGGAATAAGCTGAAGGACACGACAGAGCTGGCTCACCTTATTCAAAGCTATGCACAAACTAGAGAGTTAAACAAAGGGAAACAATTGCATGCTCAGCTTATTCGAGGTGCTTATCCACTATGCACCTTCCTCACAAATCACTTAATCAACATGTACTCAAGAAGTGGAGAACTTGGTTATGCCATGAAACTGTTTGACAAAATGCCACAAAGAAATGTGGTTTCTTGGACGGCAATGATTTCTGGGTTTTCTCAAAATCGGAGGTTTGGAGAGGCTCTGAATACTTTTTGTCTTATGAGGAATGTTGGAGAAGCACTGACACAATTTGCTTTTTCAAGCGTCCTTCGAGCTTGTGTCTCTCATGGGTCGGTTGAGCTTGGGACACAATTGCATAGTCTCGCCATGAAATGTGGTTTTAGCAATGAACTATTCGTGGGGAGTAATTTGGCAGACATGTACTCGAAGTGTGGGATAATGCACGAAGCTTGTAAAGTTTTTAATGAGATGCCTTACAAGGATCAGGTGTTGTGGACTTCTTTGATTGATGGCTATGTGAAAAATGGAGATTGCGAGGAAGCTTTACTAGCTTATAAGAAAATGGTCATCAATGATATTGTGATTGATCAGCATGTGCTTTGTAGCACTTTGAGTGCTTGCAGTGCACTAAAGTTTTCTCATCTTGGGAAGTCCCTCCACTCAACTATTGTGAAGTTGGGATTTGAATTGGATACTATTCTAGTAAATGTCATCATAGACATGTATTCAAAGTATCAAGACATGGAAAGTGCTTTGAAGATCTTCCAAATTGATTCACATTATAGGAATATAGTGTCATGTACTGCTCTAATCGATGGATACGTTGAGATGGACCAAATTGAAGATGCTTTAAGTACTTTTGTTGACTTACGGAGGCAGGGAATTGAACCTAATGAATTTACTTTCTCTAGCTTAGTGAAGGGCTGTGCTAACCAAGCAGCACTAGAACAAGGAATCCAGCTTCATGGCCAAGTTGTCAAATTTAACTTTGATAGAGACCCTTATGTTGCTTCAACTCTTGTTGACATGTATGGAAAATGTGGGTTGTTTGATCACTCAACTCAAGTGTTTGAGGAGATCGAGAACCCAAATAATATAGCATGGAATTCATTGTTGGGAGCTTTTGCACAACATGGTTTAGGAAGAAATGCCATTGAAACTTTTAACCGAATGATTGACAAAGGGGTTAGACCAAATGCAATAACATTTGTGAGTCTTTTAACAGGATGTAGTCATACAGGAATGATAGAAGAGGGATTAAACTTCTTTCATTCCATGGACAAGATTTATGGGGTGGTGCCCAGAGAAGAACACTATAGTTGTGTTATTGATCTGCTTGGTCGAGCCGGAAAGCTCAAAGAAGCTGAAAATTTTATAAATAACATGCCGTTTGAGCCAAATGCTTTTGGATGGTGTTCTTTTCTTGGGGCTTGCAAAGTACATGGTGATAAGGAGCGGGGCAAACTTGCAGCAGAAAAATTGATGAAGCTTGAACCTGAAAATGGTGGAACTCATGTTTTGCTGTCAAACATTTATGCTAAGGAAGGACAATGGGAAGATGTTAGAAGTTTGAGGAAGATGATAAGAGACGGAAACATAAAGAAATTGCCAGGTTATAGCTGGGTTGATATCCAAAACAAAACCCATATATTTGGAGCTGAAGACTGTTCTCATCCTCAAAAGAAAGAAATTTATGAAAAGCTTGACAGCCTTCTCGATCAGATAAAGAATGCTGGATATGTTTCTCAGACGGAACTAGTTTTGGTTGACATGAACGAGGCCTTGAAAGAGAAGCATCTTCATCATCACAGTGAGAGAATTGCTGTGGCTTTTTCACTAATTAGCATGCCAATCGGGAAGCCAATTATTGTAAAGAAGAATTTAAGAGTCTGTGCTGATTGCCATTCTGCCATCAAGTTGATATCTAAAGTTACCGGGCGAATTATAATTGTTAGAGATAGCAGTAGATTCCACCATTTCTCAAATGGTTCATGCTCCTGTGGGGATTACTGGTAATGCTTGAAGGCTTGATGGTTTGTGAAGGGATGTGATGCTAACAATTAGGAATACACTTCCCTTGATTGTTTACCTTGCTGCTGGAAAGAGGAGAAAATGTCTGTGATGGTTATGTGTTGTAAAATCTACTCCTGGCGGGAAGTATTGAAGTTTCTTTCTCCCGCGGCATCCATTTGGCTGGTTGCCATATTCCATTAACAGAGCAATAGAAACACTCGATGAGAAATATTGACCAATCGTTATTCGTTGATCATCACGAAAAACACAGCAAACAGGTGAGTATAATTCATTTAAAACTTCAGCTGGTATTGTTTTAGCTATTTTATTTCGTATAGATTTCAAGTTAGAGATACATGAGACCTTAGTCAATTGGATCGGGTTGGAGAAATCAAGAGTTCATTGGTGAAGGAAAAATCAAATGAAAACGAAACTGGCCATGTTTTAAGGCAAAAAATGATATCTTCAGTTATATACCGCACTGTAGTACACGTGGTTTTTATGCCTTTAAAGAACAAAGGTAATTAATGGATCATATGTTTCAAATCCAATATTGTTATAATAAATTATTCACAATAATGTCTTGATTAGATTTATTACAAAATTCTTTATTAATTTGAATATTATGGAAAAAAGCTTGATTTAAAGATCAAGGTATTATATGCAATTAATCAAAAGTTTAGTGCTCTAAACTCACTTGAAGAAAGAAAAAAGATACTAATTATAACATCAAGGTCGATCTCCTTTTAACTTTATAATTCCATTTCTGGGGCTTTCAATGGTTGGAGAAGATGACATTGACACGCTGCTCAGAGATATCAAATGAGGGGACAAGATAGAGTTCGAGAGGTTACCGAAATGCATCAATAATTTTAGGACATGTTGTTTGTGTTCTGTTTTTTTTTTTTTTAACAAAAAATTATTTTACAATACAGTTTTTAAATTTATATTTTTCAAAAAAAAAATAAAAAAAGAGGCTATTTGTTTGTGTTAATTTAAAAACAATTTTAAAATTAAAAAAATCAACCAATAATAATAGTCATGATTTATGAGAGTTAAGGTAATTGTATTTTTCAATAATCAAATATAATGTATTTTAAAAAGAAGAAAAATATAATGAAAATAAATTTGAGATGTTTCTATTTTCATGTTTTTTTTTTTTTGAAAGAATAGTTTTGAAAACAATTAAAACCATAAGACTTATTCAAATAGATTTTTTTTTAACAACCGCTTCAAAAACCAAATAAGCTCTCAATTTTCAGGTTTGGAACTTAGGAGAGAATCGCAAGTGACGGCCAAAAGTAATGGATTTTATGGAAAAGATTATCATAATTTATAACAAGTTTAATGAACTTGCACGAACAAGCTCGCTATATAAGCATCAATGCTGACAATCTCTACGAAGCAAACAGCATAGTAGGAAGCTCTCTCTCTCTCTCTTTCTGGGGCACTATGAGACATTTGACTTTCATTATAAAAAAAGGGTATGAACAACTCTAACCTAAAGGTGCCAGCCAAGGCCCAAAAGGGACCCAATGCCTTGACCAAGTTGTTTATATTCCTAATACTGGATGCACTCATGAAGAAGTGAAAGCGCTTATTATTATATAAGTCAATAATTTAAATTTTTTTTTCATGTGAAGGGTAATATAAGAGAAAGATTATTAATAAAACTTTATTTTTATCAAATTGACTTATATTTTAAAACAATAAAATATTTTTAAAATTGTTTTATAGTTTAGAATGAAGGGAGTAAGTTTTAAAATTTATTCATATTAAACATACATTTTTTTATTGCAATGCCCAATATCCTGAGAAATATTGGGGTATTACCACTTCTTGTCAAGAAAAATTTGAACTCCTGGTGTGTGAAGTTATTATTACCAATGATAACCTCACTGCTATAGATGCGTTCGAATTTCAAGAGGCAAAAGTTGTGCCTATTTAGATATATGCTCTCATAATCAATTAAAGGTATCTAAACTATAGGTATGATAAAAAATACCAAAACACCCCCATTTTTACACAATCAATTATTTGAACCGAAATCACATTCTAGTTTAAGATGGAAAGAATAGCTTCTAAAATTCAATTGTATGGTTATTATTTGACAGATATTTCACCTGCCAATTATACCCTTTATACATCTCTTTCCATCAAATTCCACTCGCGCGTTCGAGCTCCTCCCATCTCTAGTCCAACTTTTGACCTCCCTGTCTAATCCACCACAGCCACCCTCTGCAAGCTTCAATCTGCTTGTCCTAACTCTTGACTCGTCATCCAATTTCTGATATGCTAGTACTTTGTCGTCTTTGTCCCTTTCCTTCGCATTCTAGATTGATCCTCCTAATAGGATTGCAATAAAATTGGTCTATGTAAATTCTCTCATTTGGCAAAAGGAAAAAAAAAAAAAAAGAAAAGAAACAGAAGTAAGCCTTCTCTAACATTGCAGTGGAAAGTTTAGAGCTGGAGGAGATCTGGGCTTTCATTGTAGGAGATGGGAATTGTAGATACCTTAATTCAAAATTTAAAAAAAAAAATACTTGGCTTCTTGATATTAAATTTCATTTATTATTTTACAAATATTAAATTATTAATATTACTAAATGATATAATTTATTATTTAAATTATCGATAATAATATTATATATCACTTTATCAATATTTACATTTTAAAAAGTAATATCCTTTATAATAATTTTTATATCTAAAATTGTTTTGGATTCATTCATCTAAACATCTTTAATTTTATCAAAGTCAATTTTGAAAAATAATATATAAACATGATCACGATATAACATCATTAATTATATTAATTAATTTTTAATAATTACTTATAACCTACTGAAATCTAAATTGGCCCATTGATTGTAGAAAAAATTGATTAACAAAACGTGATAATGTTTGAATAATATTTTTTGAAATTAATTTTGATAATTGAAGATATTTGAGTTATTTTTTAGAATCAATTATAAAGGTAAGGGAAATAAAAAATGCTCAAATGTTAAGAATTGATTCTCAAATGGAGAAAAAAATAACTTCTCCAAAATGTAGTTTTATAAGCCAAATAGAGTTTTACAAAATTGAGGGTGTTTAAATAAATTTTTACAAAATTATGATTTTGATCACAAAATTGATTCAAAATAAGAATCCAAACAAGCCCTGCCTTGAAGATACACATACTTTAATAATGTATTTCTTCTTACTATCATTTTATGGGGATGAAAAGGAAAATTTATGAAAAAAATTTAATGACATAACTTAAAAATAGGAAATTTGTCCAAAAAAAACTTATGAATAGAAAAAAAATTCTCTCTATATCTTGTAAATAAGACTTTCAACAAAATATATTACTCCCCCTTTTAAAAACATAAGACGTTTTTAATCAAATCTTACTTTTAATAAATTAGTTAGATATCATCAAACTAAATTTATTTTTTCATATTTATTCTTATTTAATAAGATATTTCATTTAAAAATAAATTTAAAATGATTTATTTATTTATTAAGAACATTTTAAAAAAAATATATTAATTATACCTTGAAGCGTTTTAATTTTTTGACATCCAATCTTACAATTTTTTTAATAGAAGGAATATATATAATTATGCCAAGTGTAACTCACTTTTCAAACTCTGTATATGATGATTGAGATTCACAGTAATTTTCATTTTTATATTATAAGCCGCGCAAAATAGTCTCATAAATTGCACTAAAATTACTAATTTTCTCTCTTAATTAAATAATATGTTACACATATTTGTTTAAGTTTTACCCAAACATATTCTCTCTCTCTCTCTCTCTCTCTACATACAAAACCCGGGGGGGGGGGGAGCTGCATCACACGCACATGTCTCAGCATATTGAATCAACCGATACTGGATGAAACCCCAAAAGGAAGGGTCAGTGCAATTTATTTTTGTTTTAAATTTTTAAATTCCGAAAATTGGGTGAGAAATTGGTTTAATTTCAATAAAATGTAATAATAATTAATGTAACTAAAAATAATTAAAGATGGGCACATGATGTGCCATTTTAAAGGAGTGTTTTTTTAAGATTAAAAAATAAATATTTCCTCTGTTCAAAAAATATAAGATATTTTTTGAGGAGTTGGATATTTAAAAATATTTTATATTTTTAATCTTTCAAGGTGTAATTATATTTTTTTAAAGTGTTCTTATTAATAAATGACTTTATATTTATTATAGGATATTTAATAAGGGTAAATATGAAAAGATAGGGTTAGTTTAAAAGTAAATAACTACCTTATTAGGGGTGAGATTTAGTTAAAAATATTTTATATGTTTTAATAGAGGGAGTAATTTTTAGAGATTTTATAAAAAGAGCTTATTTTATAGAGATTTTACAAAAAGACAAATATTATTTTATGTTTGGTTAAAATAATAAAAAGTAATTGTTAGTTAATTATTTTTATATTTTATAATATTTTCTTTTATTTTTGTTTTATAAAATAATTTATTATTTAATCATTTTATAATTTTATGATATTTTTGCATATCTCATTTTTTTAAAAAAAATATTTTTTTCATCTACCTCATTAGATTATGTTCAAAAGCTACTCAGTGTAGCTTTTTAAAATAATAAAAATTTACTTTTTTTATATTCTGATTATTTTTAAACGTTTAAATAAAAATATTTAAAACTTATGAAATTTGTTTTTAAAAAATAAATAATTTTCTCATAAAATAAACTAAAAAAGGAGCTCCAACTCTAATTGTTTTAACGGACACAATAGAATAATTCTTTTCTCTAAAAAAAAATACTTACAATAAATCCATCCTATAGGATACTTTGATGTAAAAAATTTGATATGATATGAAGCAATATAATGATTAACTGATTAACCACAATTATTGAGGATTTGAAAATATGTAGAAATTAACATATTTTTTACTCCACTTCTCTAATTATAATTATTCATCAAATCAATGGTTAAAACAGATTCAATAAATGCAATGATGTCAACTATTATAATTAGAGAAGTAGAGAGAAAATGATGATAACTAATAAGAAAATGGAGATTTCCGCATCCTCTAATTTGTTTGCACATTCAGATAATATTTAGTGTTGATTTCTCAAAGCATTTAAGAAAATATGCGTCACCCAAACCTATTTTTTCTGGTTCCCGTACAATCTGAAGAGGATGGAGGATGTGGATCACAAATCGTTTACATAATAAAGCGCAATAGTGGCCACTTTTTACAGAGTCAGGCACACATCACATCTCTATTTTGTATTTTCTCATATGTGTCTCGGAAGTCAAGGCATAGATAGGACCCCCATCCTATGGGTGAATCCGACGAAGATCTTCTTTAAATCACTATTGAGTAATAATTGCTTTGGTGTGACAAAACAATTAATATTTTCATGGAGATTATGGTTACTTTAATTAGTGAAATTATAAGTTTAAGTGAATGGATTTAAAGAGCTCATCAAAATTTCTAAATTCAAAAAATACTTATAAATTGTTCAGGCTCTAATATTAGAAGTGAAATTTGAATATATTATTTTGTGAATTATGAGTCAAACTTTTATTAATTAGATCAACTTTTACATGTCATTGCAACTATATTCTACAAAATTATGTTTAGTACAATGAAATTTTTTTAAAAGAACTACAACCAGATCTCATATAAAAAAATTAATTACTGTAAGGTTTATTAATAATTAAATTAAACTACATTAATAATATAATTAATCGTTAATACAGTTTAATTTAATTATTAATAGACTTTGATTTTTTGTGTGTGAGATTTTAACGTAATTTTCTCAAAGTTTTTCACAAGAATGAGGAGAAAACGGGAACTAGAAGGAGAATTGGAATGTAAACAAAACAAAAGGGGCCCGTCATGAAACTCATTTGCATGTCAAGTGCGTGTAGAGAACAGAATTAAATTGGGCCTGAGCCCAATAGAAGAAAGAAGCAAAATCTGTTTGGCAAGTGCTTTAAGGCTAATGGGCAAGAGGGTCGGGCCTGCATTATTAGTCTAGAACCCAACTCGCTTTTTTTTTTTCCTTTTTAATGCAACCCAACTCACTTTATTTGTTAAAAAAACTTGTTTTCACATCTCACATTAGAAAATAAGTAGACAAACCCACAGAACATGTAAACTTGAAATTCTGGTGGTTTAAAAAAATGTCCAAAAATAAGATGAATGCGTAGTAGGCTTTTTCTGGTAGTTTAAATTAATTCATAGGGTTGTAAGGTAAGGATGAAAAAAATTAAAGTCATTTAAATTTCCGCTAAAAGAGATATTCATATAATTATATTTAGTATTTAATCACATTTCAAATAAGATTATCTCTAATAGAAAGGCACTTATAAGTAATGAAAAAAAATTAAAGCCATAAACATAAGGATCTTAAATAAAGAGTTAGAGTAATACAGATCAACAGCATCATAGATCATGAAACAAAGTATTAAACAAAAGGTAGTCCTGGCTCTAAAAGTAATCAATTTAGGTTTCTAGGACTTGTGATCAATTTTTTTTTAATCTTTGTTGCTGTTTGTTTTGCTCTAGGGATTCCTCATCAGTAAGGCAACCTCCTCTGTTTTGTAAGAAAAATTTAGTAGCATGGTATTTTCTTATTTTTAAAGGTTAAAGTATAAATCTATCCTCAAAATTTTCAGCCAGACACACCCCATGTTTTAAAGAATCTTTTCACATCAGCACAAGTTCACTCATATTTAAATATTCTAACATCATTGATCACTTCAAAACCAATTGATTGTTTGATTTTTCACTGGAAAAAATTTTTACTGCAGAATTAGAAGAAGTTGAACAGTGTCACGTGTACTGGAAAGGCCTATGAAGCTTAGTAAGTAAACTGATGAACTACTTTATTCTTCTCAATTTTAAGACAACCAAACTCAATACAATAATGCTGTGAGGCATTCATTCATATATATGTCTATATAGATCATACACATACACATACACAACATATATTGCTTTTTTTAGGGGACAGTCTTCAAATGAGATTGGGTGAGTGATCAATTATTTGTAAAACTCAATGACTCCGAGAACGGAGAAGACAGAAGCAGCAATTTGATATCCAGAAAAGCCAGAACTTTTACACAGAGCTGCAAATTCTTTCTCCGTTCTTTCTTTTCCACCAGCTTGAAGAAACATCACATTGTCCAGAATGGTCACATACTTATCTCCATCACTTGCCTTTGGGATTTCTGGCATTATTAAGTCTATCAGAATCACTTTTCCTCCTTTCTTCAGTGATTTATGGCAGTTCTTCAGAACTTGTACGCACTTCTCATCACTCCAGTTATGAGTGGCAGCCTGCAAAATCATATTATGATGTTCAACTTAAGTAATTAACTTGATTCATGGATTAGAGCTTACAATTCAGGCCAGGTAAGGAGTAAATTAATAACCTTGATCATTATTGCATCGCCTTCTGGGATACTTTTGAACATATCACCTCCAACATGCGTAACTCCTTCCAAGAACAAAACAAGAAAACATTTTGATGGAAGTTGTGAGTAATTTTCCTTAGCTTGAAAGCTAAAGAGACACGCAGATGTACTTTTTTCTGTCTTATTCTCAATATGTTTTGTCTGAATTAAAAAAAAACATTAAAACTGATCATCTTTATTTAAACTTTAATAAGTTTTAAACTCTATTTCTATTAAATGTACATATTTCAATAACGTACTCCATCCGATCTTTAACACAAGGCAACCTTCAGAAAAATATATGGTCTTTAATATAAACAAAAGTTATACTAATTAATATATTTTTAAAATTTTATCTCTTATTTATTTATTATCATTTGAATTCTTATATAACATTTTAATTATAAAGAAGGGCAAAATTGGAAATATATATATATATACATATATTACATTTTAATAATATAACTAATATTTCTTAATAAGCGCAAAGTTAGTTAAGTTTACCTTATATTAAGAGTTGGATGAAGTATTTTCCCTCACTACCATTTAATGAGAGGTAAAGAGAAACTTATAATAAAAATTTAATATCATGACTGCTTATAAATAATAAAATAATTTTTTTTCTACCTTATAAATAAGATCTGGCAACCAAGTGCATGTATTTTATATGTACCTGGGTACGAAGGGGCATGTTGAACGACTTGGGGCAAGTCAAAGTTAATGCCTTTGATGGAAGGGTACTTAGAAGTGATCATTTTGAGGCTTTGACCAATACCACCTGCCACGTCAACAAGTGTTGATATGACCTCAAAGCCTTTGTAAGTTTCCAGAATCTTCCTCATATGCATGGCAGATATATCCGCCATTGCTCTGTGGAACAAAGGCTTGAAACTTGGATCTGTTTCCATGTACTCAAACATAGACATGCCATGCACCTTCTTAAACAAGTCCTCTTCATCCACATTTATCACTTCCTTGAAGTTTTGCCTACAATAAATAACATGAATAATTAGTTTTAAATGCTAATATTATAATTTTGTGAAAATATGTTCAAATATCCCTATTACATATCAAAATTAAAACTATGGTTTTTTTTTAAATATTCAAACACCTATTATAATTCTAAAATCAATTACGAACACAAAATCATTATTATTTTTTTAAAAATATTCAAACACCTATATATAATTTTTGGATAAATTTTTAAGAAAATATAATTGATAAGCTGAATTGAAAAAAAAGTAATAATAGCTTATGAAATAATTATGATTTTGGATTCATAATTAATTTTAGAGTATAATAAGGGTGTTTGGATATTTTTTAGAAAACTATAATTTTAAATTTATAATTGATTTAAGCATTAATAAGGGTGTTTGGATATTATTCTTATAAAACTATGATTTTTTTGGTTTCAATGCTTATTACTATGATGAAATATGGGACATCCAAAACTGATTTTAACAGTTAGATTTAAAATTTTAACATATACTTTTCATATAATTTTTTGGTTTCATATAAGATTATTTTTATTTTAAAATTTATACCTATTGAAATAATATTTTATTTTTGATAATTTTGGCTATGAAAAATACTAATTTATTGAAAATATAAAATAAAATATTATCGAATCTCCCTATTGGTCCATGCTCATCACCAAAATTGAATCCTGATTTCACTTATGATTTTCAATATGCTTTTCAATGACACTCAAAATGAATTTATTACTAAATAATTTTCTAAATCAGTTATATCATAAAACATAATCAATTGTATTCAAAATCAATAATAGAACTCAATTTTATCCATAACTAATTTTATGCAATCTTAATCCAAACACAGTTCCCTGAATATTTCAATCCTTAATTGATACGTACCAGACTTTGATATAAGCAGGATGGCAACAGAGTTTTGAGAGTGAAGCAAAGGAAGCTCCATGATCATCGTCAGCGATTAAGTATGAACCAGTGGGAGAGAGTCGATACAGTCTCTCAACTTTATCCTCTTCTTCGTCTTCGTCTTCGTCAAATCGTTGTTTAGACCAAGAGAGAAGAGAATGGCTTGCTAGCAGAAACAGCATGCGATCCAGTCTCTGGGGCGTGTCTGGATGTTGATCCTGAGTCGGAAGCTCTGAAGCAATTTCAGAAGGTGACATGCCCTTAGGGTTTCCTCGTCCGATGATTTCGAATAGGTTTAACTCAATCGCTGCGTTCAAAACTGCGGGATACACTTGGCCACTTGATAGCCACAGTGCATCCAGACAAGCGTCGTTGTTTTCATCACCCGCAACCATCTCTGTGTTATCGGAGCAGATGATCGATGAAACTCAATTTCTCTGCTTCAAATTGATGTTTCAAGTCTTGTTATGTGCGTATTTATAACGACTAACTCGCCGTTGTAACATTACATTTGCATTTTTTTTTAATCTTTTTGTTGGTATTTTAAGAAAATTGGGATAAGACTACATTTTGTACCTAAACTAATATGAATCCTCATTATTGTGTGAAACCGATAAAACTAACAGCAGCCTCCCGCAGTACGTCAATCATAGGATAAAAGTAATTCAATTCCCTCAACGGCTTGATCGGTCCAACTTGCACTAACTAATAAGCAAAAAGACCTTTAATTTTATTTAGAAGACACAGAAAAAATTTTCATCTTATTTATAAGTTATGTTATTAAATCTTTATTACAAGTTTTCTTCTCTTGCTTCCATTAAATATTAGTGAGATAAAATATATTGATAAAATATGTATATTTAATAAAGATAAAATTAAAAAGTTATTCAATTTTTAGATAAAGTTAATGAGTATAATATTTTTTTTGTTTATGATTAAATGTGTTAAAAGTGACTTATGACAAAAGGAGTATTCTATAGGTAGCATTGGCATGTATTGGTGGGTTTAAATTTAAATATTATATTTAAAATCTCACATTTAAAATTCTTTATTTTCATTACATAAAAAATATTTCAAATTCAAGGACTATAAAAAATAGAGATGACAAATGAAAATGAAAAGAGATGATATTATTTTGAAAACAAACAATTCAGTCAAATTCATTAACTCTGCTAAGAATATTCTAAAAGATTCTAAAAATTTATATTAAAACGAATTTTATTTACCAATTTTCCCCTCATCCTAATAAATCCTGAATTATATTATTTTGAAAATTACATAACTTCATTATAAAAAATATGTTTACAAATTTTAAATTAAAATTATTTACACAATCTCTCAAACTTATATTATTTTATGTTATGTGATGACAAAAATATGTGTTTGAAATATATTTTTAGAAATTTTAAAAAGCATAAATAAATAAGTTTCAATAAATTTGATAAAAATTAAAATTTTATAATGCGATAAAAATTGATAAATTTGATTATATTTCAAAATGTAATTATTATATTTTTTTTAGTTGAATACAAAAAAATATTTTTAGATAATTCTTATGTTAAAGATGGACATTTTGATTAAACTAAAAGTTTAAAAAATTAAAATTAACGGTTTGGAAATAAAATCTCAAATATACATGAAGGTTTATATAATAGAAAGATTTATATTATTTTTTAAAATAAAAGAAATATTTGTGTAATTAAGACATAGAAAAGTGGTTGTGTAATTAATTTTTGTGGAGCATAGGTTGGCGGAGCTACATTAGCTTGAGGGGGTGCACATGCACCCCTCACTTTGAAGAAAATTACAAATAGGGCACATAAAATTTACAACTTTACATCCCTCATTTGTAATATTTTGCCACTTTTAAATTAAATGAAAATATTTAAGTTTAAAAATTTATTAAATATATAATATTTTAATAATTTAAATAAGATATAAAGGGTATAAGACCATATCAACCCATACAATATAATTTTTTAAAATACAAATGATGATAAATTTATTTATATTATTATAATTTTAATCCTAACATAATTATTACTATTTTAAAAAAATATTAATTTTTTATTAAATTACTCCGCACTTCTTGATTCGAGGTCCTGACTCCGCCAATGAGGTCAAGTATGGGTTTTGAGACATATTCACTCAGTCTTTCTCTTTGCCTGCAATAAACATTCAGTTATTCACTAATTCGATCAATCTTTAGACGACTTTTGGATTCCATATATTACAGTATGAATTAAAAAAACACGACGTATTATTCATGTATATATTTCACAAAGTAACTTGTTAGAAGTTTTATATAATATTATATAGATTTATAGATTTTGTGCCAACAAGTCACGTGTATGAGAAGTCGTCGGTCAACGTTCCACAGGATTAACCAAGAATGGAATGGAATTAAAAATTCCAACACATATGAGGTCATAACTTTAGTATGACTAAAAGTGTTGATGATAAGATAAGGACGTACAAATGAATATTTTATCTTATAGTTTTCAAAAATTAGTTCCTATAATAAAGGATGTCCATCTTTGAAACGAGACAGATAAATACAAGCCAAGACTTAGACAAGTATTAATAATAGGCAAACGATTTTTTTTTAATAAACAAAAACGAAATTCTTTATAGAACATTAAAACGTTAAGGGTTTATTTTACTTTACTTTATTTTTATTATTAAACTACTTTTTAAAACTTGTTTTCAAAAATAAAACAAAAGAAAAATTTGTCACAGTAACTTTCAATGACTACACATATGATGTTTCCTTTAAACGGAAATGATTCTAAAATATTTTAGTTTATTATTTTTTAAAATAAAAAATAGAATAGATTTAAAATTCATTTTAATGAAAAACACTTATTCCAATGATTTTTTTAAAGTGTAAACAATTTTTAAAAATGGAAATCGAACCCACCCTAAAATTCTATTTGAAAGAGCAAACTATCTAAATTGCATCAAATAAAAATTGTCAACCTCTTAAACTTCATATTAAAGTAATTATTTTGCTTTTCATTATTGTCTTCATTAATGCTATTGTATTATATCTGTACATAGTTTAGTTTCATGATTTGGTTAAAAAAACACAAACAACGGACCCCAAAAAAAAAAGAATCATTTTCAGTCCTCCTTAAATTGAAAAGTTATTTCATATACTACTACGGAAAAATGATAATATTCTTTCGGAAATTCCTTAATATAACCCACTTTAATTTCTTGGTCCTCTTTTTTTTTTAAAAAAAAACAAGAAATAAGAAGTTCGAGTTTTGACTGAAACAACGATTATGAAGTAACAAATTGAAATATATATGTATCTATATATATTTCAACGATAATAGAGTCTAGAAATTAAAATTTTCAAGAGAGCATAGAAATTAACTGACTAATTTGTTTTTCTATTGAAAATCTAATAGATAATATATAATAAAACGGCAGTCAAATTGGGTTGTTTCTATTGCTACGTATGCACGTATGAAAGAAAAACAAACCAAGTCTGAAATTTAAACTCTTCTAATGTGATTTTTTTTATTAAAAAAAAAGATATGAAGTGTACGTTCTGATCACAGTTCATGCCGCTTGATTAACATACATGATAATTAATAATTTGGGGGCGCAAACACTTGAGTTGCTGTTGACAGGCAAATTATCGCACGCATAAAAAATATGAGACAGGAGATCTCCAAAAAATATTATTTTAATGAAGAAATAAAAATGATTAAATTTTTTTGTATAGAAATACTTTATTTTTTTAATGAATTTATTGTTATATCATATTAATTAATTATATAAAAATCAAATTAACTAAATATTTAACTAATATTAGTTTGTTGAAAAGTTAATGTTCTCAATAATTATATGTTTATATGCAACGATAACTACACACTTTGTTTTTTTATTGCATTGCACGGAGTCTAGATGAACACGTACAATTCGTGAATTTAATGTGATTTGGTAGTCTTGATAGTTAAAAAAAAATGTGATTTGGTAGCTAGAAAATATAATGATATGTTGATACTCTTGACAAGGTGTCCTTTAGAAAATCATTTGGGTCTATAATATAAAATGTTGTGTATGTAATATTATTTAATAATTTTTCATTAATTTTTACCCAAAGAATTTTTAATACTGATCTTGTAGATTGTCTCAGTGTATAAGTTCGATGGTTTTACTTTAATTAATAAGGGTAAAAATGAAATTTTGGATTGTTTTTGGTTGACAAATTTAACGATATAACATTTTTTAAAATACGCGATTTATTTAAGTTATGAGGAAAAATAAAATATTGATTACTAATTACGTTATCATTAGAAATATAGGATCCTTGAAAACACATAAGCAGATGTTTCTTAAAATATCTTCAATTAGTCAATCGTCAATGAGTGTGCCCTGCAGAAAGTGCCATTGACTGAAGAAACATATACTAAATTATTAAAATCTGGAATTCTATGCTAGTATGATGCATGATATCAGTAACATTGGGAAAAAAATCATGTTGACGTAAAATAAGAAAGTCAAATTCGGAATAAAAATTTTTTAAATTATTTTCATATCTTATTTTCCTCGTCGTTCAAGAAATATCGCTATAAACAAATGGTTTCGTCAAAAGTTATTTTCCTTCTATTTGTGGACATTTCCCATAGCTATATTTTGAAGTTTACCAAAGAGATGTGTCATGGATATATAATAGAAATTTTCAATGAAAAATATGCTCTTTAAATAGATGCTTGCAAGCTTTGATGACAAGTATGTTTTTTTAAACATGTGCTTGCAAATTGCTGATAAGTTTAGTCTGGGTTAAAGATTTGAAATAGCATGGTGAAGAAAAAAAAATCACCAATCAAATATTTTTTATACTTTGTACCAGTAAATCAGACATAAGCATAAGCATTGATATATAAATTTTAGTTCATTTTTATTTAATTAAAATTAATGGTCGCTCAGTAAAATGAATTAAAATATTAATTAATATGTAATATATAATTAATATGTTATTATAAAAAAATTTTATTCAAGTATTTGAGTCAATTGATTCAATTAGGTTTGGCCTAAATTTTGTCAGCCTATTTGAGCAAGTTGAAATAAGCCCAAACATTAAAAAAATTATTATTTTACTGAATTCAGTTCTAATTTTTTAAAATTTGACTTAAATTATCATCTCTATTGCAAAGTTGTGGAAAAGAAGATTGGAGTAATAGAGGAGAGAGAGGGGAGGGAAGGGGAAGAAGAAGACTGAGATTCATGCATAATATTTTATTATAAAAATATAATTTAAAATGTTCATAGATAAAATGAACCAAATTAAATTCATGGTACAAGCAAATTCTAAGGAAAAAATTCAGAGACAAAAATATTAAAAAAAATGTAAATGGTGGGACTCGCATAATGGACTTTAAGCACGGTAATATCAAGGTGATAAGGCAACAAATTTCACACATTTAAGAACAAAAATTTCACAATAA